AGAGACAGTTTTTCCTATTGATTTGATAGATTTGTACTTAATTGGGGATGGTACATCGGTGAATCGGTATTGGAGAATTTTCCCAGATATCGCTTTGGCCCGATATATTTGGCACTAATATTTTCTCAGATAAATACATTTCGTTATTATTTTTACAAAAGCTAAAAGTTCATTTGTAAACTTCACCATGACCTAACATAAATCTGGTCTGGTCTGATTAGTGGTCCTCAACCTTTTTTGTGCCACCGATTGGTTTTATGTCCGACAATATTTTGCGGACTGGGGGGTGGATGGGCGGGAGGTGCGGTGCATAGTTCACGCGGCATGGTATAGTCCTGTTTAAATCCTGTTTTAGTCTTGGATTTCGACCTGGTTTAGTCCTGGTTTAGACCTGGTGTAGACCCGGTATCGGTTATATATATATAACCGATACCGGGTCTAAACCAGGTCGAAATCCAAGACTAAAACATATCGGTATCTCCTCAAAAATACCTATACTTTATGAAATGAAAATATTCAAAAGGTAAACTCACAAATGTAGAACCTATTATGAGTGACTAGCTGCTCCCATCTGGATTAAATATTATTGGCCTATAGGATGCCGTGATGTCATCTGAAATCCAGCAATATCTTTATAAAGAACTGTATATGGGGCACGCAGAGATGTTGGGTAATTATTTATGTAATCGCGTAACTGGAGATGCCGGTGTCGACCACAACTAACCCCACTAAACAAATCTATACAAAGCTTAAGGATTTCGAAGGGAGTTTGCAGTTTCTATTATGAGAAATGACTCTTTAAACGCACAATTTGCTGGTGTATAATTAGACCCAAGCTCTCTGTGTGTTAAGCTTGTAGTTTGGTAAAGGTAATGTTTGGTTGGATTATGCATAATTCTGTTGGCCTGGAGCTCTGTAAATGTTTACTGTTCCACTGGCACGAAATCTGTTCACAAGACGAGGAAGCTCAGAGTGGTGATGATGACTTTCCATGTGTGACTATGTACGACCACGGTGATTTTGTGCGTGTTAATGTGTGCGTGCTTGTGTGTGTGAATGGGATGTACTGTATGAAGGCAACTATGCAAAAAGAAATCGGTGTACCCATCATGTGGGCAAAGAGTGGAGTGGGAGGGTGAGGAGGAGACTGCAGCAGACACTGGTTTGCTGACAGGGCGACTTCTGGAAACATAACTAACCTTAAACTCACCTTGTCAACACTCGGACGCTTTCAACACCTTTTGAATTTATAGTGCGGACTTTTTATGGGGCTGCAATGATTAATCTTCTGATTTTACCTGGTTGACTATAAAACAGAATCATAGTTCATTTTGATCATCAGAATTGTTATCTGGACTATGCAAAAATACCTTAAGATAGTGACATTAATAAATCACAATGTCAATTAAAAAAAAGTTTTGATCAAGAACACACTTTATTTAAAATATTTTCTGTTTTGACAATTTTTAATTAATGTGATTTGAAAATCTAAATTAACAATTACAAATAATCACTAAACAAGTAGAATAATTGAAAAAATGATTGCCGACTCCTCAGCTACTAAAATTGTTAGAGCTCTGTTTTCTTGTAATATTTTTATACCTTTAAAAATTTCATAATCCAATTATTAATGTGGCAAATTAATTGCCAGGACGCTGGGGTGAGGTAGGTAGGTATTATTTTCTACACAAAGCAAGGACTAAAAATGTAGCTGAAAAAGAGAAATCTCCTGGCAAATGTGGTAAATAGTTGGAAAAAACATAATAATATCACAATTTTCTCTAATAATTTTACTAAAACACATTTAAGATAATTTAAGATTTTACTGATGGAAACTTCAACTTTTCCCCAATTTGGTAATTTTTTAGGTTTCAGATTTGACTTCGTTGGAAATCATGAAATTACACTGGGGAATTCCATAATGTTACGCAGCGACCATATTGTACACCGAGCCAAAACTCCTCTAATGTACAGGGAAATTAATGTCTGACAAATAAAAATATAAGAAAACGCATTTAATGTTTAAAATATTAGGAAAGTGTATTTTTTCCGTACAAACTGTGCAGATTTTTTTGGATAATATTCTACCTAGTGTGCTCAAAATGTTTTATAACTCTGTATTTTCTGTAGTTTTAAATTTTATCAATCAGTTTTATATTTACAACAGGTGTTATTTATATTTAGTCAAAATTTCAGAATCATTAAAACCTGCCATACACACTTAAACATGAAGTATATATTTTGACTCTGGAAAGGGCTGATGGACTGGTTGAACTGGGACCAAACGATGCTATAGAATCATTTTCTATAAAAAGGCATATGGTCCAAAACTACAGAAATGGCCACCAGTAGAAATGTCCCAGATACAGATATTTCAAAGACTAAAGCTAATCTGCCTTTGAAGCCCCTTAGGTTTCATGGCAAATATGTCTTTGTAGCTAAATCCCCACAGAGTCACAATGGAGCCAGATCAAATATTCTGTGTGTGTGCTGGCCTGTGGAGATTATGTAATGTCGCCCAGTTCTGAGCCCTAAGTTGAGAGCTATGTTTAGATCGGAATAGAAAGAATCAAGTGTGGAATATTGGAGCACACAATTCATTTTTTATAAGTTACAGCATGGTGTTAAAAGTGAGCACAGGTTCCTCTTTTAAATGGCCCATCTTACGTGATTTAATGATCTATGAAATGATGTTGTCTCCTCGCCACATACCTGGAGTTGTGTTGTGTTTCCTTCACACGTTTAACACACAAACTTGGCTGAGTTCTTCTCTCAAACAGAAAACACTCACGTAGCAATACAGGGAGTGCTCCACTGTGTTTTTAAACTTCATACCCCTTCACCAGAATCATTTGGATCATTTCAGACATGGGATTGCCAATCTCTACTGAACTAGTTAAAACAGGTTAACTACCCTTTAAAACTAGCTCTTTAAAACCGAAGGGCTACCCAAACAGGAATGAATGAGACAAAACACAACTCCAGGTATGTTTTTGATGAGGTAACATGGCTTAAAGCTCACATGAGTCAGTTTTGTATAATATGGGACCTTTAAACAATGGCTGGTTTCAGAAATGCGTCAGAGATCTCAACAAAAGAGCTACATAAAAACAAATGCACACGTTTTTATTTGATCAGCTGCTCATGTTTTACCAATGGTATCATATTTCTAGAACCATCCAGTTCGTGTACCATTCCTCTAGCAATGTGACAAGCTATATGGAATCAAACTTTCTCAGTGATTAAGTTTTACTTTTGAGTTGAATTAAGATTGAATTAAAATGTTTGGAGTCTACATCGTATTAGAATTGCCTCTTGCTTCTAAAATGGTCGTAGTTCTTAGTTAAATTGGTGTTTTTCAGATTCTACAATGCGATGACGTCAAAGTCCCAGGACGGGGGGAAGAGACAGTTTTCCCAATTGATTACCTTTTAGATAGTTCAGGGCAAAGTACAATGCAAATTCACAAATATCGATACTGATCATTTCTATAAGGGATCAGAGCCAAAAACACTCTGTATTACAACAAAAATCTTTGAAAATCCTTTGAACAATATTGATATTAGCTGTTCCATCTTTATTAAATTGTATTGGCCTGTGGAATGTTGTGATGATCTGAAACCCAACAGTTACCAAATAATCTTGATTTCCCAGCCAGCCTTATTATTGTACCTTGATTTGGCAGTGAGCTTGAGGTGTCAACACATCAATTAGTAAATTTGTAAAAATATATTGCAATAATCTAAATCGCATATCAGAAGAAACACAAAACCTTTAGCAGATATGATTGAATCTTCCACTTTGCTAAAAAATGATTGAAATCAAACCTGTTACACTTGCATTAATAATTGATGTTATTGATCAACCTGGAGCTCTTGAAAGGCTCTTGAAGGTTCATTGCATAAGTTCAGCTGCTGTTTGTTCTGATCTCATTAAAGTGACCGCCCCCCCCACCACAGTGGCACCATAACATACTTCTGACTTTGGCCCGACCTTGAGTTACATAAACTGTGTGTGTTTACGTGCCTCCTCCCTGACTCACACTTCCTGCGCCAAAGAACATCGCAGAACAATAGTGTAGACTCAATAAGCCTCCATCGCTATCAGAGTTGGTGTTCTTTAAATGGTTTCAAAATTCTCACAAAATAATTTTCGATCACCTTTTTTTAGTATTACTTTAAATTGAAATTCTATTCTCTTAGCAGTAAAAAGCTGCTTATCTGCTTATTATTCAAAAATCTCAAAATAATAAGATTTTTTTATATCACATCAACTGTAGAAAACTTTTGCAGTTTTTTCACATCTTACTTTGTACATATTTTGATTCCAAGCTTAAAATTGGCTTAAATTATGACACACTAGAGTAGACCATAACTTAACTGCACTAAACAGAACTGAAATTTGTCTCAGGTCCAAGCAAGCAAAACTAAAACAATGAACTAAAAGAAACATTCACTATTATGTCATTTTGGTGGAGTTTATTATACTGCTTCATGTATTTTTGTGAGACTTTTTAAAAAACGTAAACATTAGATTGTATATAAAAGGGGCACGCTCACTCAGAGAATGTAATTAATCAGAAAATGAAACGAAAATTCCTATTTGTGTTTACTTTGTGTGGAAGTTTACATACTTTGTCAACTTAGAATTATATGTTTAAAGTTCTGACCAGTGGAATCTGAAAATGGCTCTTATAAACTTAAAAAAAATGACCATGCCGTACAAAATCTTGATAAAAGTGTGCGCAAAGTATTCAGGAACAAGAAAATATGAAGATACAACTCAATTTCGCCAAGAACATCAGACAGAATCGTATAATTCTGAGATAATTTGCGATGCTTTTCTTTGGTATCGTACAAGTTGTTTAGTCAATCGTCGTAGTTATGTTAACTTCAAAGTCTGCTCTTTATTTTACTGACTCCTCACTAGGTATGCAGCGAGGAGGGAGCCTCTTTGGTACAAGATGTTCTAACCACATTGTCCTTTCTGTGTCTCTATAGCTCCCACCTCTCTCCTATATCCATCCTGCCCGCCGACTCAGCGCAGTAAGTACACAGACTCTACACAGTATCCACAGTAACAGGCACATCACACGCCACCATCGCTATTATGAAAGAAAGAGAGAGGAGATGCCGAATATGCGCATATTATTTATATTATAATAGTGTTGGGTCTGTGTTACTGCAAAGTGTTTTCCTCAGGTGTTGTTTTGTTCGTTTCACGTAGTATGTTTGAGTAAACGTTCATATTTAGTCTATCAGTCGCTCCAGAGCTCAAAAGTGTCTGTCACTCCTCTAAAAGCTCAACTCAAAACTTATTCAAACTAAATAATCGTTTTAAGAAGTATCAGAAGAAATAACGGGGCCCAGTTAAATTTTTACCTATTCTGAGAAGTTGTGCATATAAAACTGTACAATATTAAAGACACTGTTTGTAACTTTCTGGAGGTGCCAAACTTCAGACATTCTCTACGTTTTATGTCGTACTGTAGAAGATTAGAGCCAAAGGAACAGCATTTCCATGTAAACAAGCAGGAGGAGGCCATTCTTCAAGAGTCAGGTTTGTGGAGATGCAAGCCTGCTCACAGCAAGGAAGCGTGTTTTGTGCAATAAAAGCAATCAGTATGAAGAAAAAACTTACTGCAGCTTTAAAGAAACAACAATTATTTTATGTAAATAAAAGCACAATTTTAATTTTATCATAGTGCTGTCAAAATCTGTATTAATATCAGAATTGAGAAGACTTTTCTTCCATGTCGAAAAATGAGTTTGACATTTTAGTATTGTGACAACACTACATCCTACTCATACATATTTTCCTGGTTATGTAAGCATTTAAAAACACTAGTTGCCATTGTTTATTACTTAAAAGCTTAAAGCACTGTGCCTGATTTTTCCTGTCTTAAAAACATGAAACACAGAATTAGTTTTTTAAACGGTTTGTGCTCCAAAGTTAATTCCTCACTTGCCTTATGCAGTCCGAGCATCCTCATTATTCACCGCGATGAGTTTAGAAACACTTATCACTTTAGCCGTAGCAGTAACACTAACAGGAACTACCATGCTAACGCTCACTTCCTGATTATTGGACAAAAAAATGCCTTCCAGTTAAATGACATCAAGAGCTGCTTATGCAATACATCTGTACTGGGGCAAGAAAAATGTACAAATACTTTACATAACAATTTCCATATGATATACAGTACAGTCCCTGACAAAAGTCTTGTCGCTTATCCATTTTGTAGAAACAAAAGCTTATAACCTGAACTTAAATTAATCGATTGGTTTTAGAAATGTCTCATGAAAGCTAAAACCCTCCCAAATTATGCTCAATATACTAAAATAAATTTGCTTCACTGAAGAAAGATTGATCATTTAATGAACACAGAAAGGTCAGATTTTGGCAAGACAAAAGTTTTGTCGCCTACAGAAAATTGAACAAATAATTTACTTCAAATACAAAAATACGTTGCATAACGTCAGTGAATTAAGTAGTGGTGCTGTGAGATCCATATTTAATATCTTGTATGACTTCCATGAGCTTGAAGGACGCATCCATGCGGTTCCACAATGATTCATACAATTTGTTGATGAAGTCATCAGGAATAGCAAAGAAAGCGTCTTACATGCCTCCCAGATTTCATCAAGATTCTTTGGTTTTGCCTTCCATGCTTCCTCTTTCATTCTACCCCAGACATGCTCAATGATGTTCATGTCTGGTGACCGGGCTGGCCAGTCCTGGAGCACCTTGATCTTCTTCGCCTTGAGAAACTTTGATGTAGAGATAGAAGTATGTGATGGAGCACCATCCTGCTGCAAAATTTGACCCCTTTTATGGTTGGGAATGTAAGAGGAGCTAATACTTCTTGATATTTTAGGCTATTGATATTGCCTTCCACCCTGCAAATGTCTCACACACCCCCATACTGGATGTAACCCCAGACCATGATTTTTCCGCCACCAAACTTAACTGTTTTCTGGGTGAATCTTGGATCCATGTTTGCGTTTATACACATCCACTAATTGATTGATCAGTAACTGATCACAGATGAGGCTGTAATCTAGGATTGGGTGCATCATATGACAAGGCGACAAGACTTTTGTCTTGCCAAAATCTGACCTTTCGGGTCAAACGGGAATGACACATGGGCAAACAGAAACTGGGGCAGCTGCAAAAAAAATTATCTATCTTCAAAAAAAAAAAAAGCATCTGAATGCGTCTGATACGGATATTGCAATAGATATATGGCCCATCCCTATAATTTAGTGAAAAAATCAGTTGTTTGAAACATAGACTGTATAGACTGTATAAAGAAAAGGACTAAGGGAGTGTGGCGTTACCCATAGTGTTCAGCTCCAGTCAAATGAAGCTCAGCAGTTAAAGTAGCAAATATGGAGGAATCCAAACCTGTCCAACTTTATTTGTACAGCACATTTTACCTACACAAAGTCCAAAGTGCTGCACAGAGTAGGCACAACATAAATTAACACATTAAATAAAATAAAGGATGAAATAAATTAATAAGCAAGTCAATAAAAAACATTTAAAAAATACTAAAATTAGCAAATAGAAAAATAGCAAATAAAATCAATAAAAGACAGTCAGAGGAACACACAATGACACATGCTGTGTCAAAAGCCGGTGAGTAAAAATGTGTTTTTAAATGTTACTTAAAAGAATCGACTGTAGGGGCACTCTTAATGTGAGGACGGAGAGTGTCCCAAAGTTTGGGGCTAACCAAAGAAAAGGCCTGGTCTCCCCGACTTTTGAGTCTCGTTTTTGGAACGATAAGTTGGAGCTGGACCTCAGACCTCAGAGCGTGTGAAGGAGTGTAGGGAACAATGAGATCTGAAATGTAAGTGCTTTAAAAACAAACGATAACATTTTAAAATCAACTCTAAAATGAATGGGAATAGGAATAAGAATTTATTAATGGAGAAAATAGCTAAATGAAAACACCCAGATCACATAGAGAGGGTTAATACGAACATTTTAAGACCAAAATCACGATGCTCACTGCAGCATTCACAGAGAGAGGGGTGACAATTTTGCAGTGTAAAGTCAATTGGAGCCAGAGTCAGTGGAGCCAGAAGTGCCCCCATGCTCACATCCTATTTGGAATGTGGACGCTTACAGGTTAACATAGTCTGTAGTTTGGAGGAATCAGGACAAAAGGGCTGTCAAAAGAGCCAATTTGGAAGAAATATAAAGTAGATTTTTTGAGTACCATAAATTCCAGATTATAAGCCGCTACTTTTTTCTTGCACTTTAAACCCTGCGGCTAAAAAATGATACAGCGAATATATGGACAGATTCTTTGTTTGGCACATTGTCCATTCATATATACGGTCTATCGTGTGGCAACACAACGGATATGCAGAGCCTGCAGAAAACACCGCTGTCTGTGCGGTTAACTCATGAATCTATGGTTAACAAGAAGTTGCAACACCAGCTCGCGATATTGTCAGCGCACTCAGTTTATCGCCGTGTGATAAAATAAGTTATGATGCTAAGTGAACATTAGTGAGGGGGATACGTCTTACCCGTATACGTAAATGAAGAGAAGAAACGTCTCAAACTTCAATAGCCAGACGTCCACTCATACCTGATTGATAGAACTATCTCTGTCCCCGAGAGAGAGACTAAAACCTGCTGAAATCCTCCAAGACACTGACATGAAGACAGGCAAGACAGCAGCTTTTGCAGGAAACATGCGCCGTCGAGCTCAGGGAGAGACGGGGGTGATGCGCCAAGGAAGATGCTTGTTTGATTGTGTTTTGAACAGTTATTTTGTGCTTCATACACACACACTCCTCATGGAAAACACACAAAGAAATGCAGATGATGCAGCTTTTAAGTTAAAAGCAATCGATGTGACTGTCGAAGAAGAAAACAGAGCTGCTGCACATGAGCTTGACATCATCGAGTCAATGATGAGTCGATTGTCAAGTTATTAAGTGAGTTTTGGCCGAGAACCTGACAAAGAATAATTGTCAATATTATCCTCCCTGATTTTCCATTCTACAATCTTATAATAACTGCATACCACTTATTAATTAAAAAAAAAAACAATCACATATAATTAAATGCTATAAATGTGTGTGTTTATATCCATGAGAAAGCCTGTTTTGAACACCATGTGGCCTAGTTTTTCTGACTGAAAAAGCAGCCGTTACACACTGACAGTTGTAACCACGGTGACTAATCAGACTGCGCTGTGGAGAACATTTCTTGAAGTTGTAAGAACGGTGGTTGTTGTGTGTGATTAATGCCCTCGTTTCTGCCCGATGTGCCTAAAGAAATGCCTCTGCGCTGTTGGAAATCTAAAGTCATGTCACTAAAAGCGTGAGGTCAGCTCTTTCCCAGGCCCTGGTCAAAATTAGTACAATAGATTTTGTTATACAATACATCCATTTCTGCTGTGTTGTAGATTTTGCGAATTTCAAATAAATGTATCTTTAACGTGGACTCAAACAGACTTTATTGATACACAAGAGAAATTACTTGGGACAGTAGTTCAAAAATTGCCTCTTTACAACAAACAGTGAATAGTTGTGGACAAATTGTATGTTTTTTTGTTATTTATTTATCACTTATTTGATTTATCCACTGTACAAAAAACTGTAACAAAAAATTAACTAGTTCTTTTTGTCATGGTTATAAAATGGTAAAAAAAAAATCAAGTACAGCGCATTCAACTTGTTAACGTGGACATAATAACAGACGGTCAAAGAAATGTTTTACATAAACTACAGAGCTGTGCGTGTAAGGCTTGTGCTGTCTGATCCCACATGCGCCATGTTCATTAGAGCGACTAAACATGGGAGTGGAGCGGCTGGTCCGAGGTCAGTCCAGAGATCAGAGAGAGCTTTACCTTTTATAGTCTCTGCTCTCATCCCCAACACCACAGTCTCCTCTATATTACTACGCAAAGGCTAGCACCACTAGTTCAGCTTAATACTTTGAAATATTGTAACTATATTAGTAAAAAAAATATATAAAAATCACATGCTGACAATAATTTGAATTCAGTACGCTTCACTTTTACTTCAGGCACACTTCCCTAATCACAGCAGTGCTCAAATGGAAAGTGAAAGTAACATCTTCCCAATGCATTAAGGATGGGTGATATGCAACAAAATATCACCATCACGATTTTTTGTAGATGGGTATGCTTAGTATGTTTACATTAAAAACACAGGATGTATACAAAAAATATTAGATTTGTGTTTATTGCACTGGAAAACGTATAAAAAACATGCATCATTACTTTGAGAGGGCTTGCAGCTCCACAGACCTGACTCTTATTTGACCTGGAAGACGGCCTCCTACTTCTTTCAAGCATAGATCTGCAGAGAAGCACTCAATCACAGTGATAACTGGAATAGCAGAAGATCACGATTCAATTTTTACATTGACCAGCCTTGTCTTACATATATGACATTATCGATACATGAATAAGTTACCGTATTTTTTGGACTATAATGCACACTTAAAAGCCTTACATTTTCTCAAAAATGGACAGCGCTCCTTCTAATCCATGTATTAATTCTGGTTGTGCTGACTGACCGACCTCGAACCGATTTTATGTGGTACACGTCACTCAAAAATCTGTCAAAATGTTTTAGTGTGACTTTGGTAAACTACGAAGTCACACCGCTTGATCGATTGTCAGAGCATTACGGTTATTGTAGTCAGGAGCCTCGTGGAGGCAAACACGCACGCAAACACGCACGGAGAAGACAGTGATTACGCAGCAAAAAACACCCGCAGCCACACTCATCACTCCACGCGGACGAGGAACGGAACGGATGAACGAACCAAAAAAGCGAGTACAATGTGCCACTTCTAGACACAACTGAACAACTGAGTCACTGCGAACACGCCGACAATCCAGCGGTCCCAGACAGCACCCTCCCTACACGCCACAACTGAACAAAGCCGAGAGTCACCGTGAATGCGACAAGCAAAGTCCCACTGAGCCAAACACTGTTGTGTTTCATTTACAGTCCGGTGCAGTTTATTTATGAAAAAAGTTTGAAATTAGACCATTCAATGACAGTGCGCCTTATAATCCAGAGCGCCTAATAGTGTGGAAAATATGGTACTCAATGTATATTTGAGTCGTCCTCATAGGAAATAAAAAAATAAACTTAATTTATCCGCCTACATTCACATTAATAATACACATTTAGCAACGCGGGGAGGCAACGCTTGCCAATGGATCGTGGACGCCTGGGCTAAGGGATCAGTCTCAAGTGTCGTCCATTTCGCTTTATGCGCTTTATAATCTGGTGCGCCTTATGTATGTAAATAGACGAGAAAATTCAACATTATTGATATTGCGCCTTGTAGTCTGAAAAATATGGTACTTGTTAGTTACAGTGCATGAAATGGCATTAATGTACATATCTCTTTTTATTTGTAATGTTTTTGTTTTGTTTTCCAGAATTTTCCAGCAGACCATCCGAGCGGCTGTGGAGCACCATCTCCTGGAGCTGAAGACCTCCATCGACCAAGACCTGGGCAGTTACACAAAGCAAAGGTGAAGATCAACAAAACACACACACAAACGCACATACACACAAATATCACATCTACAGACCTGCTTAAGTTGTCCACCTGCCCCTGTACATGACCTGCAAGCCTGTGCGCACTAAAGCGATGTAAGGTGACTCTTAAAGAAACATTTTTACCATTCTGAACATTGTGTGTGAGGCGGCCGTTAGCTCCGATTACACACATGCACCACTGATAATGAGACAACTGTAAATACTGCACGCAACAGCTGTGCGAGCCCGGACTGACCTCCAAGACAAAACGGTGTGCCCCGAGACTTTCTCCCCCTGACATAACACCAAAAGTTTACAGAAGCAATAAAAGCAAGTGTCTCTTTAGGATGTGTTATGTAATGGGTGTGATGAAGCCTTATTTAGACTTTATTAGATTTGCGGAATAACTTGACTGGTGCTTTTTCCAGGATTAGCGCAAAGGAAGCATGTGGTCGCCATGGTGATGAAGAACAACAAACAGAAACGGAAGATCTTTTGTGCGACGGAGATGGAGAGACCCCAGCTGAGCAGAGTCACAGAGATGGAGAGGTTGGTTGGGAAAAGTAGAAAGAGTCTTTTAAAGCAGAGGAGACATGCCACTTATAAAATATAAAGCGCTGTTTTTAAAGAGCCAGTTTTTGGGTAGAGGATTCTAAAACCTTCCATTTCATAACAAGGTTTTATGCCATTTTTCTCATTCTCCATGGAGACAAGCAAACAAAGTAGTTTATGCCGAAAAGGGAGCGTGCAATTGTAGACTAAATAAGTATTATTTATATCATTGTGGAACTTCAGGCGAAGCAATAACATTTTCAAGAGACAAGCAGGTGAAAAACCCTCATCTCCCACGGTCATCCAAATCCTGTAAATTTAAAATGTAATTTTCCAGGCCTGGAAAGGTCATGGAATTTTGTAAATTCAATGAAAGTTTTGGAAAAGTCATGTAATTTTAGTATTTCTTTCATGCAACTACAGCATTCTGTTAAGTTCATTAGGCTCTTATGATCATTTCCGAACATATGCGCCTTTTGTTTCTAAGAGACAACAATGCACTGACAGTATTTTGAATGTTAAAAAACTATAATACCAAACCATAAGGTGAGTGGAAAAAGTTAACATTTCATATTTAGCCCTAAAAGTCTGATCAATTCAATTGTAAAGTCATGGAAAATTCTCTTTAGGTCATGCAAAAGTCATGGAAAACTTTTGTCAGTAATTTTGTCCTCCAGAAAATGTAATATAGTGTATCTTTAAGTGCTGTAAACTGTAATTCTCTTTGTGTCCTTGAGCAAGACACCAATACTGTATTTTTGTTTGAGGTTTTACCTGTTAGTTTTGTAGTCTTAGTGTCTTTCTACTGCCTTAATTTCTGTGACGTCTTTTCATAGGTTTGCCAAATTGAGCTTTACTTTGCTGCCACCTACTGGTCGTATAACATGTCAAATGCATTGGGTAAACTTTGTTGTAAAACTGAGAAATAATTTAATTTAAAATGTTTGAAGGATATGTTAAAATGTTCTTATAACTATGTTCACATTTTTGGTGTATTTGAGCTCACTCTAATCCAAGCTTCTAATTTTTGGCATCCACACAGTTTAATATAGATCAGCCTGTATTTTCCCAACTAATTCTGTTTGTCTTACTCATTTAATTATACAGTACCTCTTTGTATGACTGTTTTTTTCAATAACCAAGCTTTTAATTATATCCCCCTTATGAGAAGTGTTTGTTTTCTATTAGGATTCAGAGGCCACCCCAGAGGAAGGCTCCGGGATGGACTTGGATCAAAACAACATTAACACTGCCAGGTAATGCCCCGTCATATTTGAGGAGGCTTAAATTACAGACTTCAGCCTAGCAACACCAACAGAGTTAAATAAAGAAGGAGCTCGTTGTATAACTCCCAAACCTTCTCAGACACGCCTGTTTTTATTGCCTGTTTATGTGACCTCTCTCAACACGATAATGCATCACAGTGTCCCAGATACTGCATGCCATTTTAAATAGAAGCTATGAACTCCCTCAGATTTACACAAACACAAACTGATATTTAAACTTTGACTGAACTTTTTTCACGCACAATAAAATATGTATTATCTTTTCAGGCAGGACAATCAAACCTGTAATATCATGGAAGAAACTGACAATGGATGCTGTGTAAGTATTCAAGCATGCACCAGTTGTTTTTTTTGTTTGTTTGCTTTTTTGTTTTTTTGTTTTAGTAAATAACTATTAACTCTATGATAAATAATAATTAGGGATTCGCCGATTCGATACCGGTCTCAGATATAAGCGCCGATTCAGAAAAAATTGCCAGAGTGGATATCTGCTGCATAATTCAGACGATATTTTGGGCTTAAAAATCAATGTAATAAAACTATTTACTGGTTATAGTCTGGTCAGAAAGTCTCGTAAAGTTTGATCTTTTATTTACACAAAGCTGTTCAGTCGTACTTGAGGGATGAATAACAGCTACAAAACAATTTTCGTTTCCGTTTTATTTTAGTTTAATGGAAATAAAACGCTATTTTCAATCTCTGTACTGGTGTTGGGATGATATCACAATCAGTATTGGAACTGAAAAAGTTGGATTTGGTGTCTCCTTAATAACAAGTAGATCATTTTAGTACTCTCACATTTGCATTTTATATAATTCATCACACTCAATTTCAAGCCACATTTATATACATGCACAGTAGGTGAAGTTTCTTGCTCAGGGACACAGTGACAGTATATAGTGTAGCATCTTACTGTAGGTAATGAATGGACGAGAACTGAATTGGTTAATGTCAGCGTAATCATGCCAATACAAGGTGAACAGTCGACCCACTCAAACTTGGACCGCGCTTACGTGCCAGAACAACCCTCTTATTCATAACCCAGTCCTGTATCCCTGGCACAAACTCGGACTCCACGCAACTTTTATACAATCATGTAGGGCCATGAATTTAATATAAAATATAAAATAACAGTGTGTTTCTAACAACAGTTATAAAGGCAGGATCAAGGTTTTAACATTTACATTATTGCAGGTTGCTACAATAGTGAAGAAAAAACACCAGTCCTGTTTCACCTTATGCAACTCTGCAACCTGAGTCACTGTCACTGAAATGCATGTTAACCTATTGTTTTGTGAGTACAGGGTTCCCACAGTCATTGAATTCCTAAAAATGTCATTTTCCAGGCCTTGAAATGTCATGGAATTTTGTAAATTCAATGAAAGTTTTGGAAAAGTCATTTAATTTTAGTATCTCTTTCATGCAACTACAGCGTTCTGTTAAGTTATCGTTACACTATTATGATTATTTCCAAACATATGCGCCCTTTGTTTAAAAGAGATGACAATAAATGCACTGACAGTATTTTGAATGTTAAAAAACTATAATGCCAAGCCAAAAAGTGAGTGGAAAGTGTTAATATTTCATATTTAGTCCTCAAAGTATGATCATTTCTACACATGTAGGGTGTGGTAAAGTCATGGAAAATTCACTTTACTCCATGAAAAAGTTATGGAAAAGTTCTGAAATTTTGACAGTGAAAAAGAATGGGAACCTTAATTATTGTAGGTTGTTAAAATAGTGAAGATTATAACAAAACACCAGTCCTGTTACACCTTATGCAACTCTACAACCTGAGTCACTGTCACTTAAATGCATATCAGCCTTTTGTTTTACGAGTAGGTGGTTATTCCCAACTGTTTGTCTCCTTTTGTCCAGGACTTGGATCCGTGCCAGTGCGATCAGAACGCCAACACCAGCGAGCCCAACAGAAACCTCCTGTCTCCGTGCCAACCACACACAGGCTCCTCCCCTCACATGCAGCTGTTCCCTGACAACCAGTGGGAAGGTACGTATCCTTTAGGACACACCATCCAAAGTGTGACATCTTTACTGTCAGATGTTCAAGGTTCTAGGCCAGGAGATGAGATGAATTATGTATTTTAAAGAGGGGGTATAAACATTTCTGTGGGGTGTTAACTGCTAACACATGACATATTTAGATCACCTTGTTACCTTTTAGTGTTTTGAAAATGGTATATGCGCCAAAAGGGTTGAAGTACAAAGTAATAGTCTAAGAAATTACTCAAGTAAGACTGGACATAACATGAGATTTATTTAAAGTTAATATCATTGGAAGGAAAATGAATTAATGCTCAAATTTGATATTTTCAAAGGATAGACACCAAAATAAGAAAAACTAAATCATATCTTAAGGAATGGGTCTGTGTACCATTTGTTCTTTTGAATTTCAATTAAGAATGAAAAACTAAAATGGGAAAAATGCGGAAATTTCATTATTCCATTTTAGTGTCAAACAAAAAAATTTCGGCCTCTATTTTCAATATCTAATTTAAAGTTTTCAAATAACATCGATCAAATAACAATCTCGGTGCCTATTTTATTCTCTCTGGTTTATTTGCCCCGGAAGTTCTGCTGCTAGAAGGACTTACCTGAAAAATCTTTGCAATTTTGTGGAAAAACATGTCGTCTTCTTTCATAGCAATGCGTTTATGTTAACCTGTTTACACAAGAACACTTGCAGGTAAAAGCGACAAAATATTTTATCGGAAGTGCCTTTTGTTTAGAGAATGCAAAAATCTGAAACCACCCTCCAGAGTGGAAAAGTTGAATACGCTTCACTGTGGCGTTTCCGTCTACACTGCCCAAAGACGCAAAACTCTGGTCAGATTTGCTCACTTCGCGTACACGTTTACCTCACACACATCACCACCTAGCGTCACCACTGAGCCGCCTGGCATGCATACCCAATCGAATTCCACACACTTTTGCATCACCGTTTGCACGATTTCCTCCTGAAAACACTCTAAACACGGTATAAAAAGTGAAGACGTGATGCCACTTTTGCGTCTTCTGTTCAGACCGTCATCATATAAACGTAGTCTTAGTTGAAAGTCATTGTTGAACTCCATGACGAGAAACAGGAAGCAACGTTAAACTCTCCTTTGTTCACATGCGGCACACGTGTGAATTCAGAAATTGAAATTTATTTGATGATGGCCAAGTTGTTTATGTCGGTGTTTTGGTGAGTGAATTTGGAAGATTCTGTGCTTTCATATGAGGCATGGCCTGTCCATATTCTGAGAAAAACTTGGATGTGTTCTCTACATTCACTTTAAGACACTCGCAACACAGGTTCAGTTGTTGCTTTTAAGATGCTAAGAGCGAAGGCTATGTACTGTTCATTTAAATAAAATCTAACAGAATTTCCGGGGCAAATAAACCAGAGAGACCGAGTCTGTTTTTTGATTGGTGTTATTTGAAATAAACGTAATTAAACTTAGAGTATTGGAAATGGAGGTCGAAATGTGTTTTTTCGTTTGACACTTAAACAGAATAATAAAATAACAAACTGTTTTCCCATTTTATTGTTTTTCGTTCTTAATTGAAATTCAAAAGAACCAATGGTACACGGACCGGAGTGGTACAAGAAATAAAAAACATTTAATGTCGACATAAAGCTTGTAGACTTACTCAGAGTGGGAAGAGTAACCAAAATTTTTACTCAGGAGTACTGTTAATTCAATAAAAATCTTGATTAGGAGTAAAAGTAAATGTAGTTGTGTAAATGTAACAGAGTAAACTGCCCACCTTTGCCATTAGAATACTGTCCTTACCGTAGTTCTTGTGAATGAATGATCTCACCGCCCGTCTCTCTCCATCCTCTTCCTCCATCCTTGGTGTCTGTCGCTCTCTCCCTCCGTTTCCATTAGCGCCATCCCCCTCTCATGCCCACATCCCTCCCATAGACTTCTCATGTATGCACCTGCAGAAAGAAGGCCAGGGTAAGTGTCATGTCTGCCAAACATCTACATACTGTCCTGATAATGTCTCATTCCCAACAAAGTCATGATTACTGTAAAATTTTGTGTCCGACTACTAACTTGAATCACTAACCCATCAAACCAGTCTAAAGTTTGGACACACCTACTCATTCAATGTTTTTTTTTCTTTGTTTGTGAAGAAAAATGCATGGAATTAGAGTAAAAATTGGGGGAAAAAATAACATAATAGAGCTTCAAAAAATCACCTGAGATGGTTTTCACTTCACTGCTGTGCCTTGTCAGGGTCAAGAAACGCTAAGAGTGCAAATCAGTTTTAGTTTTTAGTAATATTTTTGTTTACTACATTCCATATGGGTCCATTTATTAGTTATGAGAGAGAATGAAGAGCCATAAATGAGAAAGTGTGTCCAAACTTTTGACAGGCTTTGTATAAATGAAGTGCCATATTCAAACCTTCATGCCAAAGACTAAAATAGGTTTCTGAGAAGGCCCGTGGATGTTTCAAGGTGTCCTCCTCGCAACTATTTTAGTGAACTGTGGCCTAAATATCTGACTTTCAACTGCAGTACTCTCGCATGTCACCTACAAAGCATAAAGACATACTGCGCTGTTTTCTGGTGTCAGGTGATCATTTTGTATTTTTGTCCTTTATATCTAATGATGAGGGCAAAATATTTATAATGTCTCCTTCAAAGGAACCACGGGTCAGATTTTATATTTTTCTAAACATTACCTAACCCAAGATAACATCAAATCAAATCTGACTTTTACTTGTAACAAGTCGTAACTTTGATTTATTTGATTTTAATTACATAAACATTGGACATGATGGCCAACTTGTTTATGTCGGTGTTTTTATGAGTGAATTTGGAAGATTCTGAGCTTTCATATGAGGCATGGCCCATCCATATTCTGAGAATGACAGAAACTTGGATGTGTCCTCTACATGCACGTTAAGACACTCGCAACACAGGTTCAGTTGTTGCTTTTTAAGATGCTAAGAGCGCAGGCTATGTACTGTTCATTTAAATAAAATCTAAAGGTTTCTGACTGAGTATTGATTCCTCTTGGTCTCTCCTTTGTCTAGGCCTGTCACGATGGTTTCTATATCGACTTACCGTTCAATAATTGATCGAAGAAAAGGCAATTAATATTTATCATGTGTACATTCTCTTTGTAATATGAACTTCTATGACATAGTATAGTTACAAATTAAATACGTAAGTGTTCAGGTCATGTTTTTTGTGGCGTATTTATTTTTGATGGTACGGTCTTGAAACACTGGGAATTTATCCTACTCTGGGTTACTAAATCCAGCCGCAAAGGAGGAGTTTAAGGGTGAAAAATCCGTGTATCATTCGTTCCATTCGTTTTTCAATATAAAACCAAAAATAAAATTTAAAAAAATGAAAAAAACAACTATTTTCTTCATTATTTGTCTCCAAAACCAAAATGAAAAAACAGATAGCAGATTTGTTTTTTAAATGAATAATGGGGGGAAAAAACAGATCCTGTTTACGTCACTTCCGTGACTGAGATGCAAGACTGAACTGAGACCAGGACTGAGACCGGGACCAGACCGAGACTGAAGCTGTGACCAGATCTGGTTTAGTCCTGTTTTAGTCCTGATTCAGTCCTGGTTTAGTCCTGGTTCAGTCCGACATCACAGTTTAAGTCACTTAAATGGGAAACTTCACAAAATTGAAAACTGAAAAAACAAATAGTTATCTGTTTTTTCCATTTTGGTTTTGGAGATAAATAATGAAGAATTTTTTTTTTTTTTTGTTTTCTAACTTTTGGTTTTATATTGAAAAACTAATGAACGGTTGATACACGGATTGTGAACCTGCCCTATCTTTGTTTACTAGATAACATATTTTGGGTCGTCTTATCTTTTTTGGGGATAATTCTGCTTTACACTTTGGTTTAAATATTTGTGTTTATTGTCGATATTTACCAGTATAATGCACTTTGAAATGTGTTATCGTGACAGGCCTAACTTTGTTCTGTTCTGTACAACCTTCTCCTTCCTCCTGCTTTTTTTGCTGAAAATAACACAAACCATCTCAAAGTCTTTAAAGGGCTCGTATTGTGCTATATTCTGATCAATGTTATAATGTGGTTTCTTCATCAAAAACGTACCTGGAGTTGTGTTTTGTTTCATTCGTATGTTTCTCTGCATCACATCACAACGTGGAACAGAGTATTTTGTGATTGTGAGATGAAGACAAACTAATTATGTGTGACTGAAACAAAACACAACTCCAGGTCTGTTTTTGAGGAGGTAACAACATTATAGCATAACTTAGACCTCTCAAGAGTAAATTTAGCACAATATAGGACCTTTAAAGGACAACCAGCTGTCTGCCTTTTGCGTTAACCTTGTTGGACTTTCTCTGTCTCTCCTCAGATCCCGTCCCGGCGTTCATGTCCTGGCAGGGGGAGAGTGACAGCGGAGAGGCCCAGCTGTCCCCCCTGGCCGGCCGCATGGTGCCGCTGCCCCCTCTCCTGCTGGCCGAGGGGGGCGAAGAGGAGGAGGAGGGCACGAGCCAGGAGCTGTCCCCCTCCTCTGCCCGCTCACACCCACACGCGCTGACCAGAAGGTTCCTGGACTTCGGAGCTCACAGTGCCCAGAGGTTCCTCCAGCAGGACCCTGACAGCACCTCACCCACTAAAACACACAGGTGAGCGGGGCACTTCTCCACAAGAGTAGCCATACTAGGGCTGTCATTGCGTGTGAGCTGGAAGGGCCTGTACCTGATTTTTATTTATTTTTGACAAGATAAATACGCCTTACATCAGGTGTTGTATGGGAAACGCTGCTAAATAATGGCTAAATTGGAGCATTATAAGGCAACTATGACTCAGTGGCAGAAAGGACTAAGTGGGCGAGGCTAAAAGTTCAAATTAAAACATGTTTATGACTCATATTTTAATTATATATATATCAGTTGAGTTGCATTTAATGGAGAAAAAAAGTTGAAGAAAAGTACAAAATTCTAGGAAGTAGTTGTAAGTTCGAAATACTGAAAAATCCATCTAAAATGCTGGAACAATTTACTTGCACAGAAGTCCTGATTTAACAAAATAAAGGTGTTTTAATTTAATTGTATGCATTGTGCAGTCTAGACAAGTTTTGGCTCTTGTTTTTACTATAGTTCTGTCTCACTACCTTTAGCAGACCCCGACGAGCATCATTTGGCTCTAAAGAGGCCATGAGAGGCGACTCAGTCACACACCAGCTCACCAAGAAGCTCCAGCATCTCAAGAAGAAAATCAAACAATTTGAAGAGCAGTTTGAGAAGGAACGAAACTATAAGGTATCAGTAATAGTCTTAGAGTCTTTACACGACAACTATATTTATATCTTGAATATAATAATATAAATATTTTTATATAAGGGGCCCATATTACTCAATTTTCTGAACTATTTATAATAATAAATATTTATAATTTATAATGTATCCTGATCAAAAACATGCCCATGAGTAGGGTGGTCCATCAAAGCATGGTTAAAAATAAAGTTTCAGATAACCTCAATTAGATCCCTGCATCAGGTTTTAGCATCCAAATATTTAGGAAGAAATTTGGAAGAAAAAGGAGATGTTTTAGAGGTTGCTCAAGCCGCATGAAGTTTCCTGGATATTGACTTATTTCACATTTTCATGTAACTTTTTCTTTAACTTTATGGACTTTCTAAATAATATTTCTGCAAGTTTCAGTTTATGTTTGGAGAATAAAATGACAAACTATTCGAATACATCTTATTTATTTGGCTCAGTATGTTATAGTACAGGGCAATTTTCAAGTGTCTTGAGCAACCTCTAAATATTAATTAATTTGCATAAAACTTGGAGCCAAATATTTTATCCAGACATGGAATCAAATGCAGGGTTTTAATCTAGAGAATCTACACAAAAATTAGCTCAGAGTGGTGTTTTGTTTCATTCACAGTGTTTGACACACAAAACCTGCATATTAGGCATTTTGAGCTCTGGAGATATAGGAGACTAATAATAAAGGGTTACTCAAACATGTGTGAATGAAAGAGAACACAACGGTATGTTTTTTGTAATATAAAATTCACTTTTTTGATGAACCTGCCTCCTGTGTGCGCAGCCCTCTCACGGAGACAAAGCAGCTAACCCCAAAGTGCTCAAATGGATGACCGACCTCACCAAGATCCGGCGTCAGATCAAAGGTACGCGATGCAGTGTGTTTTGGGCTGTTTTGGGCTGTTGGCGGACAGCATGACCCTCCCACATCTGTGACCATAGTGTGCATGTGCTGGTCTAACTCGCCTCCAGTGTGCTGGTGCGTCCTGTCAACCACATCCACCACCTTTGGACGGCTTCAGTGATGGGAAAGACTGCTCTTGACAACACACAGGTTTAAAATTGTGTTTAGTTTTGAGTCAAAGATACATGGCACTGTTCAAATCTGAAATTGAATCTAAAACATCTAAACTGTCAGCGACCTGGACAACTGAGAGATTACACAGACATTGTTAATAAAATCTAGTAATACCTCTGTAATTTCATTCTGTCAAAATTTTAGAAGCATTTTTACAATTTTAGATTCCTTGACAATAATTTTGGCCCACGTCTTCTTTTGCTGAAGTGCAAAGCTTTTCACCCACAACAGCAAAACTAAAACGTAAATCTTTTCTTGGCCTTAGTTTTGCGTGTTTGTAAATTTCAAGACTCTTTCACATCACTGAAATCAACCCCAACACGTCTCACCTCCTCAGAGGCCAAAACTACATTTCTCTGTTTCAAATCCGAACATTTTCAAAATCGACAATAACACTGTGCTCCCTCCTCCTCCATCCCGCCCTCGGCCCGAATGATTGACTGACCCAATCGGCCGACCACCACCAGGACGCCAGCACCACCTATTCCCCAGAAGCTCGTTGCGGCACCAGGCTTTGCTGCACTCACACAGACGTCAGCCCCCTCCCCCCTCCTCCTCCTCCTCCCCCCTTCACACACTCACCCCCTGTGTCACCCCGGCCCCACCCCCTGCCCCAGAGTGCTCGGCCTCAGTAAGTACCACCCCTCTGCGCACCACACCTGTATGGAGCTCACAAGCGGGCCACCGCCTCTGGTTCTGGAAGTAAAGTCACAGTCGTTTTTCCCGTTGACTGTTTGGAAAAAAGTTTGATGGGGGCTAATGAGTTATGACGTAATTAGTGACAATTTAACTTGTGTTGATTATGAAATTTGACAAATAATGTTAAATAAATATATCTTGGTTAATCGTTCCCGTAGCTTACTGGCCTCTGTCGTGTCTTTTAAAAACTGAAAAATATAATTCTTGAAAAGGTTAATGGCAAAGTGATTGGTAAAGTCACCTCCAGAACCAGAGGTGGGCCGGTGCTGCTAAGCTCCACACTGCTTTATAACGGAGCTGTGCATCTGCTTCTGCGTGGCTGGCACTCTGCACTTGATGCATGTTGCTGCTAGTCTCTTGTTAGTCCTATTGTACTCTTGAGGCATGTGATCTGGTAAAGGTATAATGCTTATTGAGAACTAGACACATTTTTATAAACCTTTTTCAGAGAGGAATGGACATTTGGACAAAAGTGTAGCATAGTTTAGACTGAGCAGTTACTCAAATGGCCTTGTATAGAAGCATTGTTATCTACCGTAGCTTGTTAAACATAAACATTGTCTAACTTGAGGACCCTACTGAGTCCTGAGAGTGTCTAAGGTTAAAGCTAAAGTTAAGTCTCCTCTTCCCCTGTCCCCTTTGTCACTGCTTCTGTCCCCCCTCTTCCCGCCTCTGCTTCGGTGCTCCCCTGTTGAATCTTTATAGAAGCCAAACAGCGAGCAGAGAGTGAGCTGGGCCCTCAGACCCGCCCACGGAGCAACACTCTCCCCAAGAGCTTCGGCTCCACCCTGGACCAGGACCCTCAAACCAGCAGCAGCGTCAGTGCGGAGGAAGGCCCCAGCCCCACCCGAGAGGAGACGATGGAGCTCATCCAGAAGAGGGTCAGGGGGAAGAGAGAGGAGGACTGCTGGCCTGAGGATATCAAGGTCTGCACCAAGATACCAGCACATAACTATGGAATATGAATGAGTATGTGACAGTTTTTTATTTGTTTCTCGTTTTGTTTTGTTTGCAGAAAATGACAAAGGAGCAGCTGTCATGTGAGAAAACAGTCCTTCAGAAGAACCTGCTGCACTATGAAGGAATCCACGGCCGACCTGTACGTGCAGAAGCCTTGTTTTCTCTATTTAAAGTAGCATACACCACACTTATTTTAGTTTGAGTTGACTTCCATTTTACATTTGTATGTCCTCTACAATCCATCAGAATAAGATAATATACTGTATATAATATCCATAATGTCAGTGGTCCCTCTACTGATCTTTCCAGCCTGCTCATTTTACACCATGAATGTTCTTTATACAACCTGGATCTGACAATAAAGTAGAGGGGATGAGGTATAGACACATGTGTAATATGTGAGTTAATAACTGTGTTTTTGTTGCTGTGCAGGTGACCAGAGAGGAGCGTCTGGTGATGAAGCCGCTGTACGAGCGCTACAGGCTGGTCAAACAGATGCTCACCAGAGTCAGCATCACTCCCATCACAGTAAGTAAAGTCAAACAGGGACAGGAAAGCCCTTGTATGGACATGATTTGGATGGACAGACTCCCATGAGTACCCTATGCAGAGTGTAGAGTCGGTTCAGTGTTCTGTGGCCAGGACGAAAACCACACTGCTCCTCCTGAGGTTTTACTATTGGTCGAATTCTCCTCTCCAGTACCCTGGAAAAGACCTTACCAGGAACGCAGAGGAGTGTGATTCCCCTGTATTTGGGACACACCCTCCGGTCCCTCTGAATTTTGTAGAGTCTCTGCAACAGCACAAGCTGCAGCATGCTTGGCCTGTCTGTACCCCCTCCACCCTCTTATGGATCCATGAGGGCTGTGCCACTCTAATACTCTTTATGCAATGTACATTTACTGGGGCAAAAAAGAAATGTAGCTCAATTACCTGGAGGAAAAAAACACTTGTACAACCCTTTAACTGAGCTGCGCTGTCTCTTCCAGGTGTCCCCCTCCAGCAAGAGGCGGAGTCAGACTCTGCAGCCTATCATCGAGGGAGAGACTGCCCACTTCTGGGAGGAGATAAGAGAGGAGGAGGAAGAGGAGCAGAGAGCAGCCGGGGCCACTGAAGAAGAGCAGAGGGAGGAAGAGAGAGAGGAGGAAGAAGAGGAGGATGAGGAGGAGGATGGAGAGAGCAGCGGAGGAGAGACACCCAGCCCTGACGTCATCATGCTCAGCCACCCCATGAGTCAGTCAGACCAGAGCCTGTGTCGGACTGAGCCGATCAGAAGCAAGCTGGAGGAGGGCTCAGGAAAGCTGGCAATGGATCTGCGACTGTCCAGCTCCAACGCCTCGTCTATGTAAGGACCTCACACAAACACTGCTTTACTACTACTTTGGATTATTTTGTGTGTGAGTAGTCATTGTGTGTACTTATCCCAGGCCTGAGCTGCTGGAACAGCTGTGGAAGACCAGAGCAGAGAAGAAGCAGCTGAGGAAGATCATCCGAGAGTTTGAGGAAGATTTCTATCAACAAAATGGAAGGTTGGTGTAGATGATGATGTAAATGATGGTGAATAATATTTCAGGGTATACACGGGGTCTTAAAAATCTTTAAAAAAGGTCTTAAATTTCATGTTCCTAAATTAAAAAGTCTTAAATTATGTTAAGTCTTATTTTTTTCACAAAGTTCTAAAATTTCATTAGCCTTTTTTTTGTATACTCATCCGGGAGCAGGGCAATGTTAAATGGAGGGAGGAAAAAACAACAACAACGTGAAATCATGTAACATGAATGAACATCTCATTTGGAGTATGTGCAAACGATACTTTGGTTTCTGGCGCCGGCGGCAATGAATAAACAATCAGTTCATGGAGGAAGACGTGGATGGATCATGGGGAAGTGTAGGTTTAATCCTCACTGGCTCTTAGATTCTAGATATACCGTAGTAGTTGGTTGGTCATTATTAGAATTGAAACTGCTTAATGGGTGCGATGTTGGTCTTAATTTTCATTTAAGTGGTCTTAAAAAGGTCTTTAAAAAGTCTTAAATTTGGGCCAGTCAAACCTGGAGATATCCTGTATTTACAATATTTAATTTAACATAAACTCATAAACATAATATAAATCCAAATATTGTACATATGACAAAATTTTAATCAGGGCGAAAACAAGATTAAAGTTGAGAAATGCTTGCTTGGGTGTCCAAAAAGAAGTGTGATAAATCAGCAAAAGTCAGTGCACTTCAGGATACTTATGGATGGATACCTTTTATTGCTGGTTCAATTACTGAGTAATACTAATTGTTCAGAGAGACACGATCACGCAGTCAACAATAAAATATCCTCATTAATGTTCAGTAATGGTCAAATCCACCTTTATTTTGTGATTTAAGAATAATGTGTATTGACATGGGTTGCAAAGGTTTGTGACTTTTAAAACATTTGTCCCCAGAAAAAAAGTTTGGGAAACCCTGCTCTAAATGAACGTTTGTGTCGTTACAGAAACGTGCAGAAGGAGGACCGGCTGCCTATGCAGGAGGAGTACAGAGAGTACAAGAGGATCAAGGCCAAACTCCGCCTGCTGGAAGTCCTCATCAGCAAACAGGACTCCTCCAAATCCATCTGACCCGTCCCCCTTCCTCCTCTCTCTGTCAGCATCTCCCGAACATAACACTGAGCTCACTTTAGACAGGGCAAAAGTGTCTTGTCATAACCTTTTAATGTTCAAACGAATATGAAACCTACATGCACTTGCAAATTAGACTACGTGGTAAGAGATACAACCCTACAGACTTGCTAGTATAAGTATTCGTAGTACTAACATATGCCAAAATCTGCCATGTAGCCTTGATGATTATAAGCTAAATGCGGACTTCTATTACGATTGACGAGTGGTGTTTTATTTGAAATCTTTTGCCAAAACACATAGCTCCAAAGATGATTTCTGCCCATTTTTTAACCCGCTGCATATCCTACGTTTGCCTGTTAACCCAACAACAACAACGTTTGTCCAAAAAACTCTCATCGCGACTGAAAACTGTGGATTCACTTTTATTAGAAGAAAAACTCTTTTGTTTGACGTTCTTCATACTGAGGAATCTTACGGACAGCTCAAAGACTGGCTCTTTTCAAGACTGTGACCCATTGACTGTTATTGTTTTGTCATAAACTCTTCAAACTCAGATACTGGGACTATTTTTTGTGTGTACAACACAAAATCACATACGTTTTCTTTTCTCTGATGGCTGCATTTGTCGCTCCTCTGGGTTTTAGAATAGATTTTTTTTTATCACTGGAAGTAATCACCAGAAAAACACCGTTATCGATCTAAGGCTTCGGTGATTTGGACTTTGAAGATTTGGAGGATTCCATGAACGCAGCTTATTTTTTGTTCCTAAAATTTGTGCTAATTAGCCATTCTACTCATTTAGGTGCTGCCAGTGGTGGGTAATATATTTTCTACATAATATTAATATAGTTTTTTGAAAAATTTAAAATTGAGTGCATCACCTATAATAATAAAACTGTGAAAAAGCGACAAAATGGACTTATTAGAGCTTTCTCCCATGATAGCGCTCTGAAGGGGGAGTGAGTGACTTAGCACGGGGAGCAAACAAAAGGGAGACTCAGTGTGTTTTCAGCAGCTATAGCATTTTCAAAACGATAATGGGTAACACGGTGATCTATGAGGTGTAAATTACTAAAAAAAAATACTCCTCCTTCAAGTCCATTTCACTTTTTTTTTAAATATATTTCCAGACATTTACACGCGACATCTGCAGATGGATTGTAAAAATACGATTAATTATTCTATCAGAAGAATACAAAAAAGCAAGAGATTATTTTTGTCAATATTGCCCACCCCTAGGAGGCGCTGACGACTTCTATAGAGATTTTGACAGAACACATTTACGCTCTGCAGCCTTTCGCAGTTGTTCAGTCATGTCCTGCTGGCGGGGTAAACTTCGGTTAATTAGACATTTTGTGGATACGAGCGAGAAGGCGTCGAACACAATTTCCAACGATGAAAAGGTTTTTGAAATCTGGGTAAAATGAAATGACTTCTAACATGTGTCTGTTTATCCACACGAGCAATTTTTTTATCTATCATTGCAGTGGGGAAAAGCTGTTATTATTTGTGTTATTTTACAGGGCATTTGTAGGAGTTGCATTAGACAAGTGGTTGAAATACAAAGTTTTAAGTGGGACTAAACACCAACGCATCGCAACAGAGTAAAAGGATTTTCATCTACAAATTTCATACATTTTAGTCCAGTTTAAGTCAGCTCATTCGCAGCTTAAAAACTTAAAACGGTCAAATATCAAGTGAAAAAAAAGCCAAATCTGGTCAAAGTGTGTCACTGCATTTCAAGAGGCCTGCCTCCTCTCGCTTCTCCCGCTTTGGTCCTCCGGAGCGCCCCAATCGCACTCCCTTTTGGTCCTCTATCCAATCCAGTCCACTTTATTTATATAGCACATTTCATAAGCAGTTTCCAAAGTGCTGCACAAATACATACTAATAACAACAATAATAATATAATAATATAAAATGAACGCTCAGATTTAATCATACTAGTCTTAAGACAACAAAACTTGGAAAATAAAATAAGAGCAAAGCCACAGAATAGCAGTAAATAAATTCAAAATAAATAAAACACACAGAGGACCCCACAACAGAAAGCCAGAGAATAAAAGTGGGTTTTAAAACGAGACTTAAAACACCACTGGGGGCTGTTCGGACTTTGGAGGGACAGAGCGTTCCAGAGTTTGGAGCCGGCCACAGAGAAGGCCCTGGTTTTAAGTTTCGAGTCTCGTCTTGGGCACCACGAGCTGGAAATCCGTAAAAATTCGGATGAGGTCCAAGGTGTATTGTGAGGCCAGTCCATTCAAACCTTTAAACCAAACAATAAAATCCCGAAATCAATTCTAAAGTTAACAGGAAGCCAGCGCAGCAAAGACGGGAGGATTGGGTCTCCAGAGCGAGCCCCTGCTCTTCCCCGTTATAAAATCCCCTCCAGGGTTGTGTTGTAGTGTTGAGGTGTTCAGTCCCACTTTAAATATTCCGATTCCGATGCATATCCTGCAGCACGAGTGAGCGGAAGCGCGTGATTGGACGACTCCGTGTAGAGTTAAAGACTTGCACAGCGTTCACAGAAGAATGCAGCCCTAGTGTGTGTTTTGTTTTGTTTTGTTTATTCCCTAAAAAGAAGCACTACTCCTATTAAAATATATACTGTAAATAGATCCACCCGAAGGAATGAATGTCACAAATGTTTAAATTATTTCAAACATCGTCCATTTTGGTTCATATGTGATACCCGACAATGTGTTTTTTATGATTCTAACTGTTATAAATACTGCTATTACTGTGTATCCCATTGTTGGCGTGCTAATGATCTTTTTGTATTTGTACTCACTGAGTGTAGATAGCCTTAGCACTTTGTGGCTAATCCATGCGCTTGTTTTCAGATTTCGTTGATTGCTTTGTATAAAATAAGCTAATCTAGAAGCAGTACTGTAGTGAGCTTGCATGGCGACATTGAAATATTAATATCAGTGTATTGTTTCGATCATTTGTGCCATGAAAAGCAGCAATAACGACATTTTAGCATGTATTGAGTTGGACCTTGATAAACCGTGTGTGTATAATTCACTGTGTTGTGTTTGACCACTGTTAACAAGCATAATGCATCGTGTGGCGCTGCTGGGGAGTAGAATTTTATTAATACATCATTAAAAGCGCACTGTGTAACTTTTCTGACGGAGGGTTCCATGGAGAGTGAGTGGAGTGTTTCTCAGTATGGCATTAAACCCTAGCCTGATTCATCAGCCGGTTTCACTTCGTAGAAACCGTCTGTCCTTGCAGCATTAGAGTTCGTTCGCTCGACTGTAGGCGGGTGCTGTTTTTATTTAACCAGTCGCTGCTATTTGGTAGTGACGTATGTAATGTAATGTAAACTGGTATATTAAAGGTTGTATAGAGGATTTTTTAAGGGAAGTGAAATACAGCGACAGACTTTACTCTAGAAATCACGCTTGTTTACATCCAGTGCATGTTCAGAATTACTGCCGAAGTGACCTGTCTAAAAATATTTTAGCGACCGACGCATCAGTTTTTAGACCCTTCGTCTGCTTCGGTCGCGCCATCGCTGGAAGGAATTCTTCTTTCGGTGACCTCACAAATGGACTTTGTTTTGCGGCGAACCGGTCGTGGATTCTCGTCCACCGCCGCGACAAACTTCGTGCGAACTGCGAGAAAGCGACAGTTTAAAAAAGCCTCTAAAAACCGCTGCGTAAACCACGTAATCCCCGCGCGCCGACGAGTTACTTAGGTCGTCAATCAAACTCCCTACATTTGTAGTCTAACAGCCAATAGATAAAGAGGGAGCCTTGTTTTCTATTGGCTGATGTTTATCTGGCCTCACTACGTCCACAGTTGATAGATTTTCATTCTTTTTTTTTTTAGTCCTCATAATTACAAGACTGCTGCGTCTCTGTAATGGTATTTTAAACTTTCAATCACAATTTGAAACAAACAAAAAAAATCCTCCATACAACCTTTAAGCTTTTCCCAAATCCCGTAGGAAGAAGAGCAATAACGTATTTCCCCTTGATAAAATTCAGTAAACATTCTCTTTGTTTCGGCTTTAAATCCTCGATTTCGGGAATCGTTACAACACAGAATATACGACTCTTCGCTGATTGGCTGGTGCCCGAACTTGTACTTCTGGGATTTTTGCGAAATGTCTAGTGTGTTTTGATTCCTGACCTAGTTGCTGGAGAGAAATGAAATTGAGAAATTGAGCGGAGGCACTAGGTGGCGCCGGCCTGGCTAATTAAACCCGTCTATCTCCTATAAGTATCTGTATAGCCAGGTAATGCGTTCAGAATAAGTTGTAGGTTATTTCTGTGGAGAGGCGAGCCCACTCACAGTCAGAATGCTTTGTTTTGTTTTTCTTTCTGATTATTCTAGTAGGGCTGGGTATCATTAAGAAGCCTACGATACGATACATATCTCGATACAGTGAGCTTTCGATTCGAGACGATATATTTCAAATCGATTCGATACAGCTCAGTAAAAAATAAAAGCTAAATCATGGCTGTGATACTAAAAGTCTTTGTTAAACCACTTCTTGAGCAAAGTTAATATGAAACACAAACATTTTAATCATCAAAACAGTGAAAATGTCAAATGTGTCGCATCAGAGAGTTTCCTTCCTCTAAACAAGCAACAAAACTGCAGCGCTGTAACAAAATAATTTAGTAAAATATACCAAAAAATACTCTTGGTGATATATCGATACAGCAGCCCACGATATCGATACTGTATCATCACATTAAACAATACGATAAACCGATATTTTTCATATTTTTGCACACCCCTATGTTCTAGTGGGTTTTTTTTTTCGTTTGTTTTGTTTTTTATAGCATTTCTGAAAAGAGAAAAAAAAGGATTTAACACACGATATAGCGAGGGAACAAATTAGACAAACAGCATCCTGATTACAGATTACATTTCAATTTAAATAACGTTACGGCACATTATGTCCAGCGTATGAGTCGCATTGAGTTTATCAAAGAGGTCCGTTTTTAAATTAAATCCAAATGTTTTGTTTTGTTGTTTTCTATTTTTCGAATTTCATTTGTAATTTCTGACCAGTCCAGAATGCTTTGTTTGTTTTTAATGAACAATAAAAGCTTGAAACTTGATTTATTTTAATACTAAGGAATAAACTTGATACTCAGTTCACATTACGTTCCTACATGATAATTAATAACACTCAACAGAATGTGATTTTGAACATTAAATGGTACTTTCTTGTTTATTCCCATATGTTCTTACATCTGTGTAATCCCCCAGTCGTCCAAATTGTTTCCACGCTCTACGAGCTCTTATACTTGTTCTGATACGGCTCAAGATTATTCTAAATATACACAAAAATGCTTACTTCTGTAGTGTGAATGTGTGAATAGTTTCGATACTAGTTTTAGTTTCGATTAGTATCTGAATTTCGAAACTTTCCACAACAAATACACCTGGAATTGGATGAATGCGAGAAAGAAATGTTTAATGTCATGTTTATTTCACGTTCCGACATCTCCATGAAGCAGAAAAGTTACACATTGCGGCTTTAAAGCGATTAGGACAAGTGGACAGTGTCGTATTGCAAACATTCCAGTCATTATAATTATTCAGTGGGAGTGGTCGTTCGTTCTTTTGTCACCACATTGCCGTTATGCTTGTGTCACACGGGCAAACTCAACGTATCGTGCATTAATCATCCAAAGTAGTCCTTAGCAAAGATGTCTCCCAACTTTTACTCAAACCAGTATTTGTTTAATCATCTACAATATTTTCATAATTTGGAATGTATCAATTATTTCTATCTCAAACACTGTGCTGTGTCAACTACTCTATAATCTGTAAAATTATAATCTGACCTCTTTAAACCACAGACTTTTCTCCTGGTCACTCGGCATCGACATGTTCTGACTGTGTTCATATGTGTATCTAATATAAGTGATTTGATTTTGTGAATGCTTTTTTCAGTTTAACAAAGGATGAGAAAAAAAAAATCATTGACACATGTTAATAAAAGATTTAACCCTGACCGTTGTTGAGTTGGTTGTATCCTGGATAAACAAGAGAAAAATGTGAGACTTCTATTTGTACCAGTGACAGCTGGTCAATAGAGGGCGCCAGTGTGCCGCACTCCCTAACTTGACATAGATTAAAAAAATAAAAAAAAATTATAAAGTCATTTTGTATTGGGCTATATGTTTAATATTTGTTTAAACTTGAACCTGTATCTGCATAGACATATTTTTATCACGTTAAATGTGCTCATATCACTTTATTTAAGTCATGTGTTTGGAATTTGAGTGCGGTGAATCGGAGCAACTCAATGGAGGTCTATAGACACATCAAGAATTTCGGACTTCCGGTCATTGCACAGTGCATATTTGGAAGATTCTCTGAAAAAGTAAGCATCAACCCGCCATGTTTGATTTCCCAGTGGGGTGTGTCTATTGACAAAGCCAGTCTTTTCTAGTCTTTTGAACCATATCGCTTTTATTTCTGGTTCTGATATTGTCATATTTTAGTTTTGTTTGCAAACTCCATAAATGCAAAAGGGAATCAGACGTGTGTGACTGCAAACCTCTGTTCAAACTGTTTCCCTTCCCAACGGAATTGAAAAATAGTGAAAGGCGAAGGCGATGGACAGTATTGATACACGAAAAAGGAAATCTCTGACTGCCTAAATCATCCCAAGTTTGCAGTGAACATTTTGTAAATGGAGCGCCATCAAAGTGGGATCCCGTTAAGCGAGAGGTACAGAAAACAAACAGGCTGAGCTCGCACTTTCTTGTTCTTGTGGTTTTACAGCAACATCACGTCTTGGTCTCTTTGCAGTGGAAGGTGTTTCTTGGTGAACAGCTGGTGCCTTTCGCTTTGGCGTTGACTTTTAAATTCGTAACCGAGGTTGAGTGAGGGATCGGGATTTTGCTTTGATGGCGCTCCACATACAAAATGGTCTTAACCTGCGACTGTCAAGTGCCAGGTTTTTCCAGGTCAGACATTTCAAACAAAGACAGGATGAAAGTAAAGTACTAAATTACTCATGTGTAGTGTGAAGACAAAAATCTATTTAAATGTTTTTTTTAAAAAGACAGAAAAGAGTGAACAAATTGGCGAATGTAGAAACTCTAAGAGATTTTTTTTATGAACTAGTGTGAGAAAAATGAATTCCAAAAACATCTCTTTAAGTTCAATGTTGTGACTCAGCTCTGATAACAAGGGAAGTAACACAAGAACCAAGGTGTAAAATGGTAAAACTAAAGTTATAATTTACTTAAAAGGTAATGTGGAAAAAGGAGAGTGGAGAGAGAAATATATGTATGCACATACATACATACATACATACATACATACATACATACATACATACATACATACATACATACATTAAAGCCAAAACAGAGCAAAAAAAGTTTGACAAACATGTAAACTTAAATTGAGGCAGTAATGCGTACAAAAAAATGAATAAAAAAAACTGAGAAAGTGCTTAAAAATAAAATCCCAATTCCTTTGAAATATTTAGTGTTTTGATGGATTTAATGTTACAAATATTGTTTAGAGTTTGAAGATAATCCTTGATGTGTAGGATAATGATTTTGAAAAGGGCTCTGGAATTAGAGATTAGAGAATTTGGATTTATGGATATGAAATTTCAAAATAGAATGACTAAGTTTACTAAATATTCAAATTTATATTGTTTAGGATGGAAATGGGTTATTATTCTTGAGCAGTCCACATGAATTCTAATGGATGTTTTTTTGCAGGATAAGTGTCTCTAAATCTGACCACAGTTCCTTTGAGTATTTACAGTAATAAAAGAGATGGGGAGGGTTTCTTCTTCGCTACGGCAAAAGGTGCAATATGTTTTGATTTCCTTGAATTTGGCTATGAGTAAATTAGTAGGGTAAATTTTGTGAACAATTTTCAAACCCCAACGAATTGTTACACCCCTTCAACAGTCACATACATCATCAGGAGTCTTTGCCCGTTTTTACGCAAGCAGACGCAACAAGCTTTTGCCATCTTGCCTGTGATTCACAAGGCATTTTGGGAAATTGGAGTGTGCGACTGAAAAATCTTCATTTGGAAGGGTATATAGTCCCACCAGTTTCCCCTCCCCTCTGCCATAACAGTAACTGGGACACCCCACCCATACACGTGAACGCACAAAACGAAGTGGGTGGGAGAAAGTGGTACGGCCAAGGGGTGTAATGGAATTCAGCCTTAAACAGATACGGCTGCAGGAGGAGCTGAAAGCCTGTGGCCGTAACAGTGGAGCTAGATTTTTTTTAAAATGCAATGCAAAACTGAATCAGGTACAACACAATACATTTAAATGCAACGTGAGACTGCGCTCTGAGTATTATTTTAAAGGAAAGAGATTTGTAATACTGTAATTAAGTATTAATAAATACAAATCCATGTTTTTTGATAAGATAAACCTTAATTTGACCCACAATTTACAGTGTTGCAACAAAAAGGTCATGAGCAGAAGGAAAATTGGAACAAGCATTCAAAATCAAGATCAAAATAAATCATATTACTGCTCCAGGCTCCATCCAAAGATTCTGCACACGAGCTGTGGACTCACAGGCCTCTTGCCTGACAGTGCCACCCCTCCAGTTCCTTGTACATTCATATACAGGAAATATCGCCATGAAATGTAACAATGCCATCCTAATCCATTGTCAGGCAAATATTCCTCCACCTGTGGATACCAGAAATTAGTCAGTTCTACTTGAATTTCAAACTGCAGTTAAGTTGAAATAAGGGCGTGAGACATTTCTGACTTCTATTTCTATTATTTGCAGTAGATGAACTGCTAAATTACACATGGACTTACAGACAAAATACTTTTGTAGTGTATCATGCCCTAGATATTTTCTGAAAAACTGAAACAGACACAAGTAAGAGACAGTGAACTGACCTGATAGTCTGAAGCTGACAGTCTGGACTCTGTAGAAAATCACACAGATGAGACACTCCTGAATCAGACAGGCTTAGGTTCTTCTCTCAAATCCAGTTCTGTCAGGTGTGAGGGGTTGGACTTCAGAGCTGAGGCCAGAGAGGAACAGCTCTTGTCTGTCAAAGCACAGTTCCTCAATCTGAATACAAATGAAAAGAAGTCATGATTAATCTGATTATGTAAATCAATCCAAAACACACGTGAGTTTCTACATGCGAGCAGTGTTAAAGGTGCATGAGTGCTGATTTTGCATAATGTATCTTAAAAAAAAAAGAAAAAATATATTATTATTATTTCATTCATTCATTCATTTTATTTGTTTGAGCAAGGTAAAACAAAATCAACAACAGTAACACAAAAACAGAACAAGGATATGTGTGGATAAACGTATTTGGGACCTGGTGCTCAAAAGAATTACAATGAAGTTTAAAAAAACTTCCTAACCCAATTGTTTTACATAACCAAATGGTTGACACTTATATATATATGTATATATATATATATATATATATATATATATATATATATATATATATATATGTATGTATAACACATATACATTTTAAGATATCCAGTACATATATTCAATACATATGTATCTATCTATATCTATATATATATATATATATATATATATATATATATATATATATATATATATATATATATATATATATATATATATATATATATATATATGTATATATGTATAACACATATATACATAAATGCAGAAATATATTTTTGTTTATGGTTGTACAAACTAACAATAATAACAAAGAAGGCACAAAGTTTATCATTTATTGTCGTACAAACTAATAATAGTGATGAAGAAGTAAAGAACTAAAGTTGATTGTTTATGAACATACAAAGTAAACAGTAATAAGAATGAAAAAGTAAGGATTCTGGTTAGGCCCGAGCACCAGAGGCTGGCAAAGGGCCTATTAGTATCGCAAAGCGATGCTCCAAGTGGCCTGAAAAATGGAATGGCGCGACGTGACTCGCCCGTAGTGACCAGGGACCCTCGCCATGACGTAGCAATGCGCCTGAGGTTTCCGAAAATGTATAGTTTGTCGGCCAAAAAAAAGCAGAACATTGTTCTCTTATCAGAATATTATTCTTTCTTCTTTCTTATTATTTATTTATTTTTTTTCCCTAACCAACTCACCCATTTTTCACCCACTAAACAATGACGAAAAGTCCTGAAAATTTTGCCATCTGGTAAAACTCGCGCTTCTCTAACTTTTGGCTATTTCCATTTTTCAAAAATAAATAAAATGGTTTGTCAGCGCCCCCAAACGACTCAAAAATACATTAGGGAATACAAATGACACAAAAAAAAATTTGCCCGTACAGTCATGAAATTTGACACAGAAGTCAATCATGACAAGACAAGGAAAAAATATTATTTTTCATTTATGGCCGTATAAACTGATAATGATAACAACAGTACAAAAGTTTATCATTTATGGTCGGGCAAAATAAACCACAATGAGACAAAAAAAATTAAGGTATTTTTTTGTTTTCCTTCCTGGTTGTAGAATTTAATATTAATGATGATAAGAGGGCACAAAATGTATTGTTTATGATTGTATCAAAATAAAAGGTAATATTAAAGAAAAGCATGTGTTTAGTGGATAGTTGTGGTTTGGACAATGTATCTAGTCTTCTAAGTATTTCTGTAAGATTAGATTTTTATATTGTTTTTTGAAGTGCACCAAGTTAGTACAAGCTTTGATATGGTCATCTAAAGTTTAGGGTAAAGTTATCAGGCTTGTCATTATTAATCCACGTTTCTGAAATTAAAACTATCAAAAGGCATACAAGATTGATTAAGATATTCTTTGATACTGTCAAAATTCACACATATATACTACGATTGTTGAAGTGAATTACTGACACAGTGTCTGTCTGGTTTGTTGTATAAACTGCTTGACAGTCTTGATAGTACGGTATTTACACTCTACAGTCATTTGCATCAGGATCGGGCTCTTCTAACGTGCTATGATTCAGCTCAGGACAAATAGGAATGTAATGTTCAGATAATGATGAATTATTAATATTTGTCATAATAGGATTATCATGTTGATACTATATTTTAGGTAGATTTTCAATTAGCTGTATTTTTCCAGATCCTCCATGCTTTTGAGTATCACCACTTTAGTCTCTTCAGGGGTTCCATTTGTCTTAACAAAGATTTTGCAGTTGGTTGTCCAAGTAGTGGTATTTTCTTTTGTCTTCTCAGGAGATGGACCTCTCTAGGGCAGCATTCTTTTTGTCACATGTTCATTTAAGAACACATCTGTTCCTCTCAGCATTTTGCCTTGTTTGAGCAGCCCTATTTTGTGCTTTCTATTTGCAAATCATATTATTGTAGCAGGCTTGGCTTGCTTGTTTCTTTGTGGGAGAGGGTGACAAGTTTCAATGTTGTCTTTGTCTAATGTGATCCCTTTGGAGTGCAAGAAAGTCCTGTTGCTCTACTGATTCTTCATCCTGTTCACTCAACTGCTCACATCTCCATTTGATGCACTAACTGCCCTTGCATAAGACCATGGTTTTGGTTTTGAGTCCTGTGATTATGACATCATTTATTTTACTATATTGTTCTAATTCATCTACTCTGTCTTCTAGCATCTTAATCTTTTTATCCTTCTCTATGTTTAAGAGCTGCAAAGCTTTCACATCATCTGCTATTCTCATTATTTCTTTTTGTTGTCGAATGACATCAGAAACCTTTTCAGTCAGCATGTCCAGTGATTTTTTTATCTCTTCAAAATCATCAGCAGTCACTGTACTCTTTTTTGGTGGCATGGTTTGATATGCACAGTAAAATACCACACCAAAGAAACTAGAGAGCAGTAGTTGCAGTTAATCACTGGACAGTCACTGGATACAAATTGTTGCAGTGGTGATGTAGTGCTCCACTGAAGCACCTGCACCACAGCAGCAGATGTAGTAGCTGTAGTATTATTTGATATAGATGAACAGCTAAAAAACACATAGGCCTACAGACAAAATACCTTTGGTCTTTTCTGAAAAATTTTAAACATGACTCAAATAAGAGAAAGTGAACTGACCTGAGAGACTCCAGTCGACAGATTGGACTCTGCAGAAAACCACACAGATGAGACACTCCTGAATCAGACAGGCGTGGGTTAAGACTCAGATCCAGTTCTGTGAGGTTGGATTTCAGAGCAAGGGCCAGATAGAAACAGCTCATTTTTGACAAGTTACAGAGCTCCAATCTGAATACAAATGAAAAGAAGTCATGATTAATCTAATTATGTAAATCAATCCAAAACACATGTGAGTTTATACATGAGAACAGTGTTAAAGGTGCATGAGTGCTGCTTTTGCATAATGTAGCCCATCTTTTTTATATATATAAAAAGAGGAGTGAGAGACTTCTGACAAAGACAGAAGTTAATGTCATCTCCTATTTCTATTATTTGCTATAGATCAATCCATCAAACTTTATTTGTATAGCACTTTGGCTACAAAGCGCCTAAAGGTTGTAGTAAAAATAAAAATGGAGCGCTAAAATCAGATGGAGACTAAGTAAAATAATAATGATAATTTAATTTAAAACAAGTAAAAGTTTCAATTAAAAGCTAAATTGAAAAGATGCGTTTTGAGTTTATTTTTTAAAATATGAATACTCACAGCACACCTCAGATCTCGACCATTAAGAGCTTTATAAAACAATAAAAGCACTTTAAAATCTATCCTGAAGCTTAGAGACAGTGCAGAGACTTCAGTACTGGGGTGATGTGCTCTCTCTTCCTGGTCCTCGTCAGCAGTCGTGCTGCAGAGTTTTGGAGGAGATGCAATGGAGCTCTAGTTTTCTTTGGAAGACCAGAAAGGAGAGCATTACAGTAATCAACATGGTTCGTAATAAATGCATGTATTAAAGTCTCTGCACTGGCTTGACAGAGAAATGGTCTGACTCTGGCAATATTTTTTAGATGATAAAATCCAGATTTAGTGATGGACCTGATGTGTGGCTCAAAGCTACCCTCACTATCAAGAACAACTCCTAAACATTTTACCCTCTCACACGGGTTCAATGAGTAGGTTTGAAGCTTAGCATTGAGCCTCTTTCTCTGAGCTTCAGGACCAATAATTAAAACCTTGGTTTTGCCCTGGTTGAGCTAGAGGAAGTTAGATGAACAGCTAAATAACATGTAGGCTTACAGACAAAATGCAGTCTTTTCTGAAAAATTTGAAACATGACACAAGTAAGAGACAGTGAACTGACCTGAGAGACTCCAGTCGACAGTCTGGACGCCGCAGAAAACTCCATAGATGAGACACTCCTGAATCAGACAGTGCGTTACGACCCAGGTCCAGTTCTGTGAGGTGTGAGGGGTTGGACTCCAGAGCTGAGGCTAGAGAGGAACAGCTCATCTCTGACAAACCACAGCCCTTCAATCTGAATAGGGATTATACGTCATGGTCAATATTATTATGTAAATCAATTTATACATTAAATTCTAATAGAAATGTACAAAGTCTTCATTTTTCAAATAAGTGGATTTAATATGATTGACTGAGATTCAGGAGCAGAACCACGCCTCAATACAACAATTACAGGAGCCTCAATCAAAACAACATATAATACGATATACAACAATGATGAATACGATGTATAATTGATAGGATGATGGATGGGTGGTCATGTCAGGTGGTGAGACTCCAGTCCATTCTCCTGCCTCATCGTAGACGATCAGTCTTCAGGCTGAAGGATCAAGAGAGACGATGTGGTCAGGACGAGAGGAGAGAGCGAGAGGCAGATGGTGAGGCAGATGGTGTTGTTGGGCTAGGCCTATATAAATCGGGCTTCTGGGTAAATGAAGGTGTGGTTGACAATCATATTAACTCCACTTGTTGTGGCGTGGTCCTTGCTAGTGAATCAAGACTACTTGGATGTAGGGGGAAGGTGATACAGAAATTTTCTCGCCTTAATTGCAAGACAACACTCAAACGTATGTAACACAATCCAAATACCACTCTAATGATGAGGAACAACATGAAAACAGTGTTAAAGGAGTGCTGATTTTGAATAATATATCTTTAAGGGCCATGATGAGACACTCTTGACAAAGAGAAGAGAGAAGGTGAACTGACCCGAGAGTCTCCAGTCGACACTCTGGACTCTGTAGAAAACCACACAGATGAGACACTCCTGAATCATACAGGCTGTTATAACTGAGGTCCAGTTCTGTGAGGTGTGAGGGGTTGGACTTCAGAGCTGAGGCCAGAGAGAAACAGCTCATCTCTGACAAACCACAGTCCCTCAATCTGAATAGAGATTAAGAGAAGTTATGATTCATCTAATTATGTAAGTCAATCCAAAACACGTGGGCATGCAGTGAGACATTATAATAATAAAATAATATTTAAATTGTATCAGAAGTAAACATATGACAGCAGGTCATCCACAGAAAGACATAGGGGGGAGGTGAAATTTTAATTTTCAGAGCATTCAAGTCGCAAATGCAGGACAATACTCAAACATACATAAAACAATCAAAATGCCACTCTACTCTGTTTACAGGCATAGACTGTATAAAGAAAAGGACTAAGTGAGTGTGACGTCAGTCATTGCATTCGGCTCCGCTCAAATAAAGTTTGAGATGCTAACGGTTACAGGGGAGAATTTGGAACCAGGCTCTATATTAGGAATAAGATTTTTTAACTGACAAAATAACAGGAAAAAAAACAAAACAAGGATTATGTAGAACAAGTTAATATGAACATCCATCCATTTTCTTCCGGTTTATCTGGGGCCGGGTCGTGGAGGCAGTAGTCTAAGCAGGGACTCCCAGAGTTCCCTTTCCATGCACAGTTCTTCCAGCTCTTCCAGGGGGACCCCCAAGGCGTTTCCAGTTAAGCCGAGAGACATAGTCCCTCCAGAGTGTCCTGGGTCTTTCCCGGGGCCTCCTTCCATTGGGACATGCCCAGAACACCTCCCAAGGAAGGCACCCAGGAGGCATCCGGAACAGATGCCCGAGCCACCTCAGCTGGCTCCTCTCAACGTGGAGGAGCAGCGGCTCTACTCCGAGCTCCTCCCATGTGACTGAGCTCCTCACCCTATCTCTAAGGGAGCACCCAGCCACCCTGCAGAGGTGACCACTTGTATCCGCGATTTTGTCCTTTTGGCCATTACCCAGAGCTCATGACCTTAGGTGATAGTAGGAATGTAGATTGACCGGTAAATCTCTTCACCACAATGGTCCAATACAGCGACCGCATCACTCGCGCTCACGCTGCACTGATCTGCCTGTCAATCTCACGCTCCATCCTCCCTTCACTCGTGAACAAGACCCCGAGATACTTGAACTCCTGCACTTGAGGCAGGGACTCTCCACCCAGTTGGAGAGGGCAAGCTTCCTTTTTCTGGTCAAGAACCATGGCCTCGGACTTGGAGGAGCTGCTCTTCATCCCAGCCACTTCACACTCGGCTGCAAACCGCCCCAGTGCATGTTGTAGGCCCTGGTTCAATGAAGCCAAACCGGACATCTGCAAACAGCAGAGATGAGATCCTGTGGTCCCCAAACCGGACCCCCTCCGGCCCCTAACTGCGCCTAGAAATTCTGTCCATAAATACAATGAACAGAACCGGTGACAAAGGGCAGCCCTGGCGGAGTCCAACATGCACCGGAAACAGGTCTGACTTACTGCCGGCAATGTGAACACAGCTCCTGCTCCGGTCATACAGGGACCGGACGGTCCTTAGCAAAGGGCCCCGAACCCCATACTCTCAGAGCACCCCCCACAGGACACCACGAGGGACAGGGTCGAATGCCTTCTCCAGATCCACAAAGCACATGTGGACTGGTTGGGCAAACTCCCATGAACCCTCCCTATGGAGAGTGTAGAGCTGGTCCAGTGTTCCACAGCCAGGACCACACTGCTCCTCCTGGATCCGAGGTTTGATTATCGGCCGGATTCTCCTCTCCAGTACCCTGGTATAGACCTTAACTGGGAGGATGAGGAGTGTGATTCCCTTGTAGTTGGAACACACCCTCCGGTCCCCCTTCTTATACAGAGGGACCACCACCCCTGTCTGCCAGTTCAGAGGTACTGTCCCCGACCGCCACGCGATGTTGAAGAGGCGTGTCAGCCAAGACAGCCCCACAACATCCAGAGACTTAAGATACTCAGGACGGATCTCATCCACCCCCAGAGCCTTGCTCTGGAGCCTTGACACCGAAGAGCTTGGAAACTACCTCAGTGACTTCAGCAAGGGTGATGGAGGATTTCGCCTCCGGGTCCCCAGTCTCTGCTTCCGACAACATCCCCAGTCGAGGTCAACAGCTCTTCCCCAGCACTGTAAACAATGTTGGTGAAGAACTGCTTCCCCCCCTGAGGCACCAGACAGTTTGCCAGAATCTCTTTCAGGCCGTCTGATAGTCCTCCTCCATGGCCTCCCGAACTCCTCCCAGCTCCGAGTTTTTGCCTCTGCGACCGCACGAGTTGCAGCATGCTTGGCCCACTGGTATCCATCAGTTGCCTCAGGAGTCCCACGAGCCGACAAGGCCCGATAGGACTCCTTCTTCCACCTGAGCACATCCCTTACTTCTGGCGTCCTCCACTAGGTTTGGGGATTGCCACCATGACAGGCACCAGAGACCTTGCGACCACAGCTCTGAGCGGCCGCATCGACAATAGAGGTGGAGGACAGAGCCCATTCGGACTCCCTGTCCCCAACCTCCCCCAGGATCTGGGAGAAGATCTCCCGGAGGAGAGAACATGAACATGTTAAGCCCAAAATGACAGGGGTCACTGCAGTAGTTACAGAGAGGGGCGACAATATTCCAATCTAAGTCAATGGGAGTCAGGGTCAGAAGGAGCTGAAACGCTCACATGCGAACTTCCTATTTGGAACGCGGTGGATAGCGCATGTCCTTTCATATATACAGTCTATGTTTACAAGAAACATTCTCTAACTAAGCAGGATCTGGAAGGATTAATTTCATTAAACCATCATTTTAACTGAGCTGGGGAGTCCTGTATTGATAATGGTGATGGAATAATAAGAGGGCTTGAAATTGGAGATTTTAATTATGGATGATAAATCAATGTTTGCCAGTCACCTGAAACTTTTGTGAGGACACCAGCCTAATATTGCGAACAAAGGATCTCTTGCCTGCAAATAGTTTTACAAAAATAAGTGAGGCACCTCTGTATAGTTATAGTAGATGCACATGCATCATTGACAGATGTGAAAATATTTTATGAGCTCTCAACATCTGATGACATTCCATTTGGGATGCAAATAAACGGTGGATTCTCTGATAATCTGATAAGAAATATCTACCTGCCCAAGGAATGTGCAGTCATGTGCAAAGATGCAAAAACACTGAACACAGAGCAGCTGCTATGTATGAGGATATTGTCAAAGTGTTGTTTAAGTGTATTTCTTCACACAAAAAAAATCTAAAAAAAATGCTCAATACAAGTATGTGGTGTGTTTTATAGCCAAAAATGATTAAGCAGACTTGTTAGCCAGAAAACATGTAATCTCTTGTAACAACACATTTGACTTTTGGAAAGAAGCAAAAAGCACGACTGCCAGACAGTAAAACATTGTTACCATGTGCACTAGATGGCAGCTCTGGTGCGGAGATCATTTTGGAGCTTTGGCATCAGCACTACAACATCACATCTTATTTAACTGTGTTCAGAATGAGCCTTGTATTATGAATGATGTTACCCATGCAGATATAATTCTGTCACATGAAAGGCCTTAAAGCTATCACCAAACTGTCTAATAATAAGGCCAGTAGGCAAGATGATGATTCAGCAGTATTTATCTAATTTGTATTAAGATGAACTGTCAACAAAGCTCAGAACATGTATTTCCAACCATGTTGTGTGGCTGGCAATCTTGTCCTGAATCATTTAATGTATGCAGACGATTTGGTCATTTTCAGTCTGGTCAACACCTGTTCAGTTTATACAGCAGTGTGGAGCATGATATAAAGTATAATGCAGCCAAGAGTATGGTCAGGATCTGTAGACCAAAGACGACAAGTATATAAGATATATATGATTTTTTCTTGTTGAATATTGGGTTGACTGTTACAACAAAAATTCTATGTCTTGGGCACATCGCTGTGGACAGGCAAATACTCTTAAGCGTAAGCAGCTCTTGTATGGATGATGTAAAGTTGTTATTGTTTAAATCATATTGTATGTCCTTGTGCACTGCCCACCTCTGGATTAATTACAAAAAGACCAGTCAGCAGAGACTGCAGGTGGCCTATAATGATGCTTTGTTGGTGCTTTTGAGGTGGCCATGATGGACTAGTGCAACTGAGATGTTTGTTACTGCAAGGTTACAGATGAACAGCTAAATAACACGTAGACCTACAGATAAAATACTTTTATGTAGGCCATAATACACAAAATACTTTTGTGTATTATGCCCTTGGTACTTTACTATCTTTTGAGACTGTCAGGAGGCATGGATTTATTTTATATCCTCATAAAAAGTTTGAGAAGCACTGGTCCAATGTAATAGTAGCTAATATAATTCAAATTTCTTGAGTCTGTCCTTAACCTGGACCCAGATTGTACATACTTGTGTGCTTTCTGCTGAAATAGAGGAGACTGACCTGAGAGAGGAGAGTTTACAGTGAGAACTCTGCAGTCCGGCACACAGCAGAGAAACACAGGAGTCAGTCAGATTATTAGTATTCAGATACAGCTCTCTCAGATGTGAGGGGCTCATCTTCAGTGCTGAGGAAATCACCTCCCAGTGACTCTCTGAGAGTACACACTTAACAAACCTGTAAGCAGATCTTTAGTTCAAATCTGTCTGATTAGTCCTAACACAGGTCTGTGAATGAGGACTGACCGAGCTTTCCTGCAGTTCCTCACCGCTGGGATCAGATTCAGTCGACCCCAATCAGACGTGTTGTACTTCTCTGCGTCCAGTTCCTCCAGGACCTGCTCTGACATCTGCAGCATGTAGGCAAGAGTCGAACACTGGAACTGAGACAGTTGCTTCTGAGATCTTTCTCTAGACCCCAAGAGGTCCTGGATCTGCTGCAGGAATGACTGGTCCTTCATTTCCATCAGACAGTGGAAGATGTTGATGCTTTGGCACGGAGAGACTTCCGTCGAGCTCATCCTTTTAAGGTTTGGATGACTTTGGGAATTTCTGATTGGTTTATTGGACTCAGCAGACCTTTTAAAAATCTCTGGTTGGATTCCAGACTGAGGCCATGAAGGAAGCGCACAAACAGGTCCAGATGGCCATTTGAACTCCTCAGGGATATGTTAAGAGATTGTTTGAGAAACTCACTTGCACTTAAATTTTTTATTGTCTTTTTACCAAGAAAGCTCTGAATGACATGTGTGTCAATTCTAAAGCAGTGGAGCAGGTAAACTGCTGCCATAAACTCCTGGACACTCAGGTGGATGAAGCAGTAGACTGATTTGTTGAAGAGGACACTCTCTCGTTTGAAGATCTCTGTGCAGAGTCCTGAGTAGACTGAGGCCTCGGTCAGGTCCAGACCCACCTCCTCCAGGTCTTCCTTGTAGAACATGATGTTTCTTTTGTGCAGATGTTCAAAGGCCAGTTTGCCCAGCTTCAGGAGGATGTTTGCTTCTGTCTTTGTCAGCACCAGTTTTGTCTCTGGCCTCTGCTCCTGCTGCAACTCTGTCTGTGCTGATGGCATAAGTTTCATTCTCTTCCTCTGTGGACCAGGCTCAGATCTTGGTTGTTTGTCCTCTGGTCTGGTGTGAGATCTGGGTTGGTACTTCCTCTTCCTCCTTGTCTGCACCAACAGGAAGTGGGCGTACATGTCGCTGAGTGTCTGGGGCAGCGCTCCTCTCTGATTGGTTTTCAACATGTGGTCCAGGACTGTGGCTGTGATCCAGCAGAAGACTGGGATCTGGCACATGTTGTGGAGGCTGCGGGAGGTTCTGATGTGGGACAGGACTGTCTTACACTGCTCTTCATCTGTGAACCTCTTCCTGAAGTACTGCTCCTTCTGATGGTCAGTGATGAAGCCCCTGACCTCTGTCATCCTGTGCACATAATATCCTGGGATCTGATTGGCTGCTGCTGGTCTGCAGGTGATCCATATAAGGGCAGTAGGAAGTAAAGTGCCTTTGATGAGGTTCACTAAGAGCACGCTGACCTCTGACCTCTGTGTGACCTCAGAGATGACCTCAGAGTCAAAGTTCAGACACAGTCTGCTCTCGTCGAGGCCGTCGAAGATGAACAGGAGTTTAGAGAAGGACAGAGTGTGTGCTGTGAGCGTCTGAGGAGGATACATTTTAATATCAGGTTTAGTCACACAAGCACTTCAATCATTTTAATCACATTAGTCTTACAACATGTGAAATTTCTGTTATTATCATGAAGATGAACCTACACTGATTTATTATACACAGAAGTGTATTAAATGCAATATCAAGGAAAGTCTTAAAGCTTTAAATGTTGTATATTGTGCTCTGGCAGACATAGTCACAAAATCCTGGCATAGACCACCATACACACTACCACCACACTGGTAAGTGAAGTGGGGAGCAATTCCCATTATAGAAACTAACCTTGTTGGCTGTAATGAACAAACATTATCTGAGTTTCAGAGATTGTGGATTAAAATTGCACATCCAAATGTGCACATTATTAAGGGTAGAAGAAACCCTGAGTTTTTTTTTGTTTTTTTTTTAACCAGATTTACAAAGCTCTTGATTGATTATAGAAGTCAATTTCTGTAGCTAAATGGGCTAGCAGCTAATCAAGCCTTGCACCAATTAAGCTATGAATGTATTTTTGTGTTGATGTGTTTTGTTTTGATTTTTTTTGTTGTTGTTGTTGTTGTTGTTTTTTGAGGAAGCTCAAAACGATTCAAAACTTGTACGTACGGTAGTGTAATGCCAATTAACTTGTCTTTTAATGAGTAGTTTGAAGAGAAACAATCAAAATGCATTTTGTTTGCAAAGCTGACTACTTAGAAATATTATAAAAGTCAATATTATCGATATAAAAGTCTATTTTTCACAAACATCTCAAGCGGTGAAAGACTATGTACAAAATAACACCTGTGCCAGGTAACTGTCAGTGTTTAATCTGATCTGATTCATTGCCACTAATTTTAGGATTACAGTTGTCCCTCACTATAATGCGGTTCCCCTTTCGTGGCCTCGCTGTTTCGCAAATTTTTTTTAGTGCAATTTTGCATGTTTTTTTTTTTTTTTTTTTTTTTTTTACAGTGCATGATTGGCTAAGGGACAGCAGACCATTGTCAATTAATCTCCTCCATGCCGTGTCTCCTGTACAGTACAGAATGTGATCAGTTTGCCAGATTTACATGTTTGATCGCTCACAGTCTGATTCTGAAGTGCTGCATGGTTGCAAGTTTTCTCCCCGACAAAACCCACAATGTCGACAAAACGTAGAGGAAGATGCTAACCATCGCACAAAAAGTTGGGCTTCTGGACATGCGCCAATAACAGCTGGAATGTTAACGTGTCCAGGTGGGTGCGGGTTTAACTTTGATATAATCACAGGTTAACGTGCGGGTGCGGTGCTGTACAGCACGGGCGCGGGCAGGTGCGGGCGGGAACAGGTCTCCAAAAGCGGACCCTTACAGGACTCTGCGCTGTAGGGCTCAGTTATGGAATAAATTAATCTTAGGTTCATTTCATAAAGCTGACTACTTCGTGGATTTCGCCTATTGCGGGCTATTTTTAGAACGTAACCGCCGCGATAAACGAGGGACCACTGTAGTCACATTCGGTGCTGGAGCTCTACTGACCAATTATTGCAGTGCTGTCATTAAAACTGAACCTGAGACTGAAGTAAGAGTACATGTGCAGTTACCTGTTTTGCCAGCGCTGGATGGAATACTTGTATCAGCTCCATCAGACTGTAGCTCCCCCCTCTGACCAGGTTCAGCTCTCTGAAGGACAGCAGCAGCACCAGGTCCAGCTCCTGGTTCTCTAAGCCCTGGGCCCAGTCCAGAGAGAACTTCAGGACTGAGAAAGTCTTCCCCACTCCAGCCACGCCGCAGGTCAGCACGGCTCTGATGGACCTCTGCTCCTCCTGCTGTGACGCCCCCTGCTGCTCCTCTGTGGACAGTGCTTTAAAGATGTCGTGACACCTGATGGAGGTTTCCTGGACAGTCTTCTTGGAGAGTTTCTCCAGACACCTCTCCTCATGCTGGACTGTGACCTCTTCACTGAGACCCTCTACGATGTACAGCTCAGTATAGATCCTGTTCAGAGGAGTTTTACTTCCTGCTCCTTCAGTTCCCTCTGTCACACTCCCACATCTGCGGCTCAGGCTCAGCTTATGGTCCTGCAGAACTTTCTGGAGCTCTTCACCTGCTGTGAGAGAAACATCTGTTTTACCTGTAATCAAAAACTAACCATGAATCTACTGAAATATCTGAATAGGATATTGTTGGAGTTGGACTAGTGGTCAGTCAATTGGTGCTGTAGTCAAAAAAAATCGTCTGCAGACTAACCTCGTCTAGTCCTGTAGACCTGATTTTTATTTGTCATGTCTTTGTCCTGACTTTCGGGCCCAGAGCCTCGTAATGACTTTTTTCTGTGGATGAAATGAATATGTTTTAATTAGTAACTATATACTTTTTGTTGTAAATATTGGCTAAAATAAGTAGATATAAGTGTAGTGTGTTAGTAGTTACCGTGAGTGGGAAGGAGCAGGTTCAGGACTGAAGTTTGGAACTCCACCTTTAGAACGGTCACTCTTCATGGACAGAGCACTGGACACTGTGGATGTAGACCTGTGTCTGACACAGTGATCTGTTTTTACTTATATGAACTCATTATACACAAAGTATAACAAAGATTAATGCATAGAATAAAAATCTAATTATCATATATGTATGTGTTTCCAATCAACAACTCATCTTTATGTAATAGATAACCTTATGTCACCTTATGTCAAAGAGTAAATAACTCTGACCCCAAAGTAAATGATTATATAATGAGTCATATAAAACAACTTAACTATATCAATTATATGAATATTAATATGAAAAAATTATCTCTCTCAACCATTCATGATTCATGTTTTATTTTAATATCTATTATCAAGTAATTATTGAGTCATTTATCTGGGCAGTTTTCTGAGCTACTGTGTTAAAGTAATGTCCCTTAAGGTTCAGTTATATATTTTAAGTTTATATATTTGTATTACTGTAGATAATACAAATATTTAGTTTGCTGAACAACTGCCCTCAAATCCACAGGAACAAGAGGTCCTTGTGAGCTAGAATTGCCACAAAATTGTGAAAACAGGAAAAGTTATCTCCATGTGTTACATTTAGAAGCTGTAGTTCCAACAAAAAATGGCAAAAATGTATAAAAAGATAAAGTCAAAAACTGTGATGCCAAACTTGTGACCTGAATCACACTGTTTATTTATTATAGATTACGTCAAATTTCATCTTGTCTCGTGGACCTAATCTTGTGCTGAGTTAAGTCTTGTGGAAATTGTCACAAAACAATAGTGTCACTTTTCATGACGCTACATTTGATCTTAGCATTACTTTTGTTACAAGAGCTTTGTCTTTTCTTACGATGAATCTGAAGGAGAAGGCCCATCTCTGAAGTTTGGAACGCCGCCTTTAGACCGGTCACTCTTTGTGGATATGTCCACAGGTTGATTTGTGTCTGATAAAACAAACAAACAAACAAATCAAAAAAACATTAAGCTGGTTTAGGATGAAGAGCAGAGAGCACAGAGCAGAGGGAAGCACAGAGGAGACAGGTGCCGGGTGGAAAAGAGAGAAAACACACGTGCGTGAGGGTAAAATATGATATCTGCCTACTGTAGCATGTGCTGACTGATCTCAGGGGTTCATAATTCTCTATTACATCCAGTGATGGAAGGTAACAAAGTACAAAAGTTCAAGTACAGTATTTTTTTTACTGGATTGGATTGAAAATGAGTATTTATAGTTGTATTTATAGTATTTATAGTTGTTATAGTTTGAGACCTGCTGGCTGAGGAGTGCATTTTCAATACATTCATAGTTTAAAAATATATAAACAAACAAACAAAAAATAAATACTGTTTCTGTAGAACATATTTCAGTATAAATTTTCTAATCAAAATAAATTTAACACTTTTATAGATCTCAGATCTGTGTGAAATACTTTTTTTTTTTAACTCTAAATGTGCATTTTAACTATAGGTACTTCAGTAATGAAGTAAATTTGTTTGCATATGATACTTTTATCACTCCTGTACTAGAATAATAATGCATTAATCTTATATACCGCTTTTCCAGACGCTCAGAGTCGCTTTACAATTTCATGCATTATTCATTCTCTCCATACTCAGAGGTGGTAAGCTATTAATGTAGCCACAACTGCCCTGGGGACAGACTGATGGATGTGAGGCTGTCAATCTGCACCATCAGCCCCTGCAACCAGCAACACTCATGCACAGATCACATTCAAACAAGACAATGTAGGTGAAGTGTCTTGCCTAAGGACAGAATGAGTCTCCCATTTAAGTACTGACCAGGCCCTGCTCAGCGTCTGAGAGCTGAGCATGGATCCATAATAACAACTTCTTATTATACTTCTATGGAGCTTACAAGATCAGGCTTTGACAAAGAACTTTATCAAGTAACAAAACAGAGAACTTGTTAGACTTCGACTTAGACAAACTTTATTGATCCATAAGAGAAATGATTTGGACACAGTAGCTCACTAGAGATGCGCGGATGGGCTATTTTTTCATCCGCAACCGACACAAAACTCATCATCCGCCCGCTGTCCATTTTGCACGGAAGGTTTTCAAAACCGCACCCGCCCGCCACCCGCCATTGATTTTAGATTTTAGAACAATCATACAGCAAACAAACTAAGGAGCCTCGATAAAAATGCAAACTCTATAGCTCATTCATTCCAAAATTCGCTCAGCGTGTATGTTCACATTCTTAATTGTCCGTAACAACCCCAAACTTACCTGGTTTTCTTGCGCAGCTAATTAACTGACAATGTTTTCCGACTAGGCTATTTTTGAACCTTCTTGCCTTCGTGTTGGATGTTGTTACATTCTGAACATTCTGCCATTGCCCGATGTTATTTCAAAGTCATAGCCTCACTCCATCGGTCTTTCTTTAAGTTTTAAATACCCCGAGTGGCAGTCTACGCTATAATGTCTGCGTGTTTTAAAATATATCTGATATCGAAACAAAAAAACAAAAAAAAAAGCATAACTAAATAAATATGGCCCTATAGCCATTTACGTGTTAGCAAACAGCTGAAATAAATTAGAAATAATAAAATAAACTGCATATAATATGTGCCTCGTAAACCTTAGGCATCAATAACCCGACACAACCTGAACCTTCAGAACATAAAAACGAGGTCAAATGGGCTAATTAAAGATATGACGTACACTTCATACTACAAGCATAGACAATGAGACTCGTCTTTTCAGATGTAGGTAACAATACTAACAAGAACTTTTTTTTTTTTTTTTTTAGTAGTTAAACCGCCACCCGCCCGAATTTAATTAAAATATAATTTTTCGTCAGCGCGGATTAACCGCGGATACCGCGGTTGCAACCGCAATCCGCGCATCTCTATAGCTCACACATCACAATAATATACAAAAAGAAAAACTTTAAATGGTAATAATACATTTTAAATAAATTCCATCCCGATGATGTATATTTCAAATGATTATTGAGGATGGACTGCCCAATTATTTATGAACAACACTGCACATGACCGAAATGACTGTACTCACTCAGTGCTGCCCCCTGGTGGTCCCCGGAACATTCTTCTATCCGATGACTTTTCTCAGCCATTTCCCCACATCCCACAGCCTAAAGTGTAAACCACAGAGACAAGTTTTATACAAGCACATTTTTATTGATACATGATCTGTATATAAGTGAGATTTACAATGAAAATTTTAAATATTAATATATAGTTTTAATATGAGTGTTACAAAAAAAAAAAAATGGCCCCTTTCTTTTTTTCTTGGCTGCACTTTGAGCTGATCGAAGCTGTTGGTCCATCGCTTTTCGTATTTTTACAACCCAAACCATAAATTAAACTGTCTTTTCTACAGAAGTGCAGTTAATGAAGTTGTAATCCACCTACCTGAATAATAAGACCAAAAGAAGAACAACTCCGAAGTGACTCGCGTCAACTCTGTTTTACTTTCTGTTTCATTTTCACCTGACACCACTTCCTTTGTGTTTCAGTCCAAAAGTCTTGAGGCTTACATTTCAGTGGTCCAAAACCGTACAACTTATTTACACTGTCACTAACCTAAACAGATAGCAAATAAATAGGCTTGTGTTAATATGATACTATGCTCACTCATCTTAAAACAACCATAATGAACCAATATCCCTTTTATTTTGAAGGAGTTGGTCACTAGAGGGGGCTGTAAGCTTTTATATAGGCTCTGCATTTAACATTCTTTGGGCCTAACACAAATTAACTTTATGTTTAATTAACGAATGAATAAGCAAATTAATAAAGAAATAAATAGGCTACATATAAACACACAGCAGAACATTCATATGGAAATGGCACTGAAGCCTTGTGGGTATTCTGGGTAAATAATAAGCAGGATATTTGAATTGTATTTGTTATTTGTTTGGAGGATAAGCCCCTTCAGATGTCTCGCCGTCTCGTTTTTGTGGGGGTCCTCATCGTTACAACAGCAAAAGACAGATACAGTCGGGCAGACAGTCGGCTACGTACACTCAAACAAATGTAGAAAAAACGAAACAAACAAACAAAATCAACACAACCATATGCACACACTCACTCACACTTGACCGTTTGACACAATAAATCAAATTGGAACAAAAACAAAAAAAGACAGAGTTCAAATATAGTCACAAAATACAACAAGATGAACTACAAAATTCAACAAAATGATCAAAAACAATTACAAGGGTTATGTAAATATTGAACCAGAGCACTGGGTAAGAAGTTAAGTTTTCTTATTTGTTTTTTGACTTCTGAAAGTCTAAAAGGCTCTTGTTCAGAGATCCAAAAACAATGGTACAACTAGCCCACATTAAAAAAATATGTATTCATTTGATATTTATTACTAAATGTGAGCTTTTTTTCACATTGTGTAAAGAACAATTATTCTGTGTTTTAATAAAAAAAAATAATAATAATAATAAAACTTAAAAAAAAAAGTTTCATATTTCTGACACTCTTTTGTGACTCTTGCAGTGTATAAAATTCTGTTATGTTTTCTGTAGTGACCTGTTCTGTTGTCTCGGAAACTAAACAAATTTACCTCTAAACTGTGCTGTTACACAAGCTACAAACCTCCAACGACTGCAGGTATTTTCTTTTTTAATTATTGCTCCATATTTATATTTTCTGCCTTAACAGTGAATGCCTTCTCAAAGAGATATTGATAAAAAGACGTGTGGAAGTATAGGGCTCTTTGAGTAATACAATGCTGTGCTGTCCCACAGTCACTAACGATGTCCAGCTCGATGGCAACGCACAGTGCCGCGTCTGCCCCAATCCTGGCTGAGATCCGGGAGCAAATCCAGCAGCTTTTCCTCACGCCCCTCAGCGACAACAACATGCAGGTCAGATATATTCTCTATGTAACTAACACTACTGACTAAGAGATGTGTGAGGCTTCAAAACACATGCAAATGGACAGTGTTTGTGTCAGTGTGCTGTGATGTTATTATCCAAATTATATAGTGAAGTCTGAAAGTTATGAGTCTTCCCCCTCCTCCCTGTAGTCAGTACTCACTAGTGTTTAGATGTTACTCACAGCTGCATGGAAGTATAAGAAGATTCTTATGGTGGATCCATGTCTGCATGTGTTGAGAGTAGTCCGAGGTCTTGGCTTCATACCTAATTCATAAACTGCTTTGTGCTGTATTGTCAGGTGATGCAGGAGAAGGTGCAGATCCTCCACAGGAGCTCTTTTTACCTGGAGGAGTTGAGCTACCCTATAGAGCCGCAGCAGCTGCCGGGGGCGCTGAGAGTGGCCCAGAGTCATGTGCGCCTTCCTCTTGAATCTGATGAAGATGTTATTGGAGGCGATCTGCTGCTGTCGTCAGGCCCTGCAAGGCTTCCTGCAGCAGATTCAGACGGGTCCAGTGGACAGTGATCTGATCAATCATGCTCGAACCACTCTGAGACAGGTCCGCAAACACTTGCACGACTTCAAAACCGGTGCCATTCGGAACCTGGGCATTCTGAACCTGGAGAAGCATCCTCTCCTTCACTCGGCACAGCTGTCAGTGCCTCCGCTGACTGCCTTGCTGTTCTACAAATTGCCCGTGGTATTTGATCGCTTTAAGTCACATGCCAAGTGCACCACGGCCCATCTGGTCTGGTCTCTCCACGGGGGACAGTGTCCAGAACCCAAGCAGCTGTATGAGGTCAGTTCCAAGATCCTGCACCCCTGTGTGGGGGAGCAGGGCCAGGGTGAGCAATTTACCGTCAAGGGCCTGTGCTTCACTATAAACAACCTCACGCCTGACCGTTTCTACGAGTTGTCTGTCAAATACATCAACACCTTCAAACTGGTCTTCTCAGAGTGGAAGGACACTCTCATACTGAAGACATGTCCACTGAAGTGAGACTCAGACATGTCCTCTGTAGGGTGAAGGACAGGTGCACTGACAAAACACATCCGGACAGGTTCACATCCACACCCTGCTGTAGTATAGTATGTTTAATTTGTATGTGTTTAATATGTAGTGTGTTGTAATTTGTTAATATGTGTAATTGTAGTAATGTTTAATTAATACATTTTATAACATGTCTTATCTGTCCTTTATTTGTTTATTGAACGATTAATCAGCATGAATAGCAGCTCGCCTGTGGTTATCTTTGTGTTAGCATGAGGAGAGCTAGTTAAATAACAGCGAGACAGTTACATAGCCGCACGAGCAGTGTAGGTGAAAGGTCATGTGATGATGTGGCTACGATCAAGGACTCGTGCGTACCAGGGACCTTTGACATACAGCTCATATTATCTTTCATAATAGTAACTCCTAGTAATAAAAACTATATAGTTAATCAATCATTCCACAGTATGGCATTAAACTTTAAACTTCTCATCTATGTACATTCTATTCTATTAGTGTGTATATTTATTGAAAAAAAAACTTACATTATAATAACTTCATATGTGCTTAGAAACAATGCCTTAAAATGCACATACCTATAGAAATTACTAAAGACTAAAACAGTTATATTATACTGTATATTAAGATACTCCTTTTTTTCTTTTTTCTTTTTGTTTATTTTGGTGAAGTTTATCGTTTTATTTCCTGGTTGGACACAGGCAGCAGATACAACATACGCAGAGGCAATGAGGAAATAAGGAACTATAGAGATTTAACAAGCAGACATGTTGTGAGTGTACATTTCTACTTAAGAACTGGACATTTGAATTACATTTTTCCTGTTAATACTTTGATAACTGGGCTTGTTTTTGTGTTTTTATACTTCATCTAAAGCCCACGTTCAACCAAATTATCCATATGTCCATGTTAACACTTAAAGGGCTCATATTCTGATCTATGTTGTAATGTTATTCCCCCATCAAAGCATACCTGGCGTTGTGTTTTGTTTCATTCACACATATTTAACACACAGACCTTCTTCTCTCAGACAACTCCATACAGCTTCACTAGAACCATTTGGATCATTTCAGCCCTGGAACTGCCAATCTCTACTGAACTAAAGCTAAAAGGAGCTGTTTAAGTTTTAACTTAAAGGTAGCATTTGGAGATTTGGAGATGCACACGGATTAATAATAAAGGGTTAGTCAAACTTGTGTGAATGAAACAAAACACAGCTTTAAATCAGTGAATTTTCTGGTCATCACATTATTTTCAATCAGAATATTGCTCTTGTTCCATTCACAAGACAAGGCGGTCACTTTTTCCACAGTAACAGGACCTGTGTAGTCTGTGTGCCAGTATTATACTACTAGGCTGTATCTTTACGTAAAGCAGAGGCAATTCAATAACTGTGACCTAGCAATCATAATGTTAACTCTTTCCCCCATGAAGACGACATTTGACGATCCCCCTTGTATCCTTAATGATGTGTTTTGACACCTCCGCTATATCACTAAAGACGTAAAGATTTGACGACGAGTTGAATAAGCGAAATTGAGTTGAATAAATGGAAAAAACGAATTAGGTCCACACAGGTGTACAACAGGTAAAAACAGGTGTACACTTGCCTATACTGTATCTTGTGATTTGAAATCTGTTTAAACATTTTGACAAATATATATATATATTTTTTTTCTGTATTAATATAGTACTCAGAACATGTATATAACAGATGCTGAATGTAGTTTTTTGTTTTCGATTTTGCACCTGAGCAGGTAAACTCTCCTTTTCAGTGAGCTGTTATATACCTCAGGCTATCCCCAGGTTTGACTACCCCAAATGTAAGACTTTTTTAAGACTACTTAAAAGAAAATTAAGACCAACATCGCACCCATTATGCAGGCGAAAAACACCAGATCCAATTCTAATAAAAACCAACCAACTACTACGGTATATCTAGAATCTAAGAGCCACTGTGGATTAAACCTACACTTCCCCATGATCCATCCAACGTCTTCATCCACTCTACTGATTGTTTACACATTGTCACCATTGTTAGCATTGAGAGCAAAGAAATATTCAAATAAAAGTGAAAGTATCACATGCAAAAATCTACTCAAGTAAAAGTGTAAAAGTACCCATGTAAAAATGTTTGCACATTCTCCAAATTAGACGTTCATTCATGTTATGTGATTTCACATTGTTTTATTTTCCTTCCTCCATTTAACGTCGCACTACAGCCTGGTTGAGTATACAAAAAAATAGGCTAATTAAATTTAAGACCTTTGTGAAAAAATAAGACTTGGACAACATAATTTAAGACCTTTTAAGGCCTTAATTTAGGAACATGAAATTTAAGACCTTTTTAAGACTTTTAAGACCCCACGGCTACCCTGTACCTGTAAATGAGTTGAATCACATTTAAACATCCATAAATTAATAGTTCAGAGTCTAAGGTTTCCAGAGTTACCAAATATGTCTGTGTTTCAATTAAGTTCATGAGTGTGAGAATCATTTATAATCACTTGTGGAAGTCCGTTTTCTTTTATGCAATTATGCTCTATGGGTAGCCCTAGTCATATAGGTATGGGTTGTTCCTAGTAGGGATTTATAATATATATAATTAATTGCTGGTAGGACACGTCCAGCCGCTATGATAGAGGTAACTGTTACCTAGCAACCATAATATAAACAAGGTCCAAATTACACAATAGTTTCACAACTAAGAGACATTTAGGTGTGAAATCATAACTAACTTCCTGTGCAAAAATATGAGTGTTATTAATTAAGAAGAATTATTATTGGTAATATATATATATATATATATATATATATATATATATATATATATATATATATATATATATATATATATATATATATATATATATATGTTATTATTAGCCTTATATATACACATAAATACTTTACAAATTATCTTAAAGAAGACATATTGTGCCTTTTTAAGCATTTATGATTCAACTATAACATAAGTAGAACTTATTACTACCCCATATTATAATTTTCCCCAAATATCAGATTTTTCCTGATACTAAAAATTAATTTGAGCCTGAGAGGGTTAATATGCACTGTCCCTATTAAAAAAAAACAAAAAACAAAAAACTCACAAAGGGCGATTTTACAGAACACGTAAGAGGAAGTTATTACAACAGCCCCACCTTCAAACTGTACCTCTTTCTCCGGTGTCTCTCGTTATAATTGTCAGTAGAGGTTTGGTCTGCTGCTGAACTAAACTGATTCTTTGCAGTGACATCATGCTGGGTGTGTTCTACATGTATCACTATGGAGGAATGTCCAGTGGTTACCGTGGTGACACAATGCACACAAAAAAAGCTTTACGATTCGCTCGCTGCTGGCTAATGCTTGTGACTGTAATTTCATTTGAGAGGGACTTGTTTAACAAAATAAAATCATCATAGCTGTAGTTGTAGTTCCAGCTAAATGTGTTAAGACAAAGCTCATATTAAAGTCTAACTTCGTCTAACGGAGCTTCAGACAGAGCTTCAGACCCCCAGGGAATATTGACATGAAATCCAAATTCTTCTGTGATATTGAGTAATTTGGTAGATTTATTATTAGAAATACTGTTTAGAGTTTGAAAATAATTTTAATGTCTAGGATATTGATTTTAAATGGGCCACTTGGGACCACAGACTAAGGAGGGGCAATTATTTTTTTCCATGAGGCCACATGAGAAACAGAAAATATTGTGGTGGGTTGGCCAAAACGCTTAACTCAATTCTGCATGATATTAATTGTATTTCTTTATGAAAAGCAGTAGCATTTTTTTTTTTTTTTTTTGGATAAGCTGGTCAGATTGGTAAGAGTTTATGTTATGACTAAGCAATGAAAAAGTGAGGTTGCCTTACAAAATTGTAAACAAAACAAAACAAAAAAAAAACACTTCAGAAATAAAAGCAATGCAGCCTTAGTTCATGCATGAGGTAAAATTATAAAATGTGTTTATTTTGTAATTCCAAATTATCTTTAACAGGCCGGTTAGAGGCAACTGAAGGGCCTTATGTGGCACAAGAGTTGTACAATAGACCTTTTTCACAAAGGCCGGAAGTACTGCCTTGTAGGTTTGCTGATGTTAATGTTTTCTAAGTCAAAATGTCTGTGGAAATGTCTCACGTATTCTCCACCAGCTTCATAAATCTGCCCCATCACCAAATCTTCAACCAGCAAGGTCGACAAAGAACATTTTCTGTCCATGAAGTATTTATCCGCAACTATAAACGTAAGAAAGAAAAATTAAAGGTGAACAATGACTAGCATTAGTGAGCAAAACTAATGTTATGATCATGAATAACGAAAGTAATTTATTACTTGTTACTTGTTCACTCAGGCTGATTCTAGAATTAAAATTAAAAATGTATTTCATGATGTCGATATTAGCATAAACATAGATTTGTGCAGTTCAAATGCTACATATATTTACAGATTACATGTCTAGCATTTAAACTGCACAAATCTATCTATACTAAAATATCCACATCATGAAATCAATTTTAATTTCAAGTCTAGAATCAGTCTCAGTGAACAAGTTACTTACGTTTTATTCATGACCACAACGTTAGTTTTGCTCAACAGTAGTTCTCCAATGCTAGTCGTTGTTTGCCTTTGAACTTTCGTCTTTCTTTTCTTGATAGTTGCAGATAAATTTTTCATGGACAGAAAATGTCCTTTGTCGACCTTGTTGGTTGAAGAATCTGTAATGGGGCAGATTTATGAAGGTGGCGGAAAATACACTAGACCAGGGGTCAGCAACCCAAAATGTTCAAAGAGCCATATTGGCCCAAAAAAACAAAAACCATACCTGCCTGGAGCCGCAAAAAATTAAAACACATGGGAGCAGTCACTGTAGCGTGCAGCCACTCAAGACGGCGCTGGGGTCCAGTGTTGGTCCAGATTGTCCAGAGGATTCGTCCTCCATGTTCTGGTTCCAGACGGGGGCGAGTAAGACCAGCGCGCATAGGACTGGGTCCGAGTACTTCAGTGCAGTCATCTGTGTGCTGGTTCCGTGCGGGAAAAGCGAGAATGCGCTGTGGACCACAGGTCCGGGCTGCTCTGGTCCTCCGCGCTCGACCGCGGCTGGTTCCGAGGGGGTGCAAAGCATCCGGACAGAAGCGTGAATCCCGTTTGGTTTGGTATATGTTGTTCTGAGCGTCCGTCTGCGCACGTGTTTTTTTGTTTTATTTTTTTTCGGGGAAAGCTCTTCTCAGGTGGAGACACCGGACACCATCCCGCTTCAGCTCATCTATTTGTTCTACTGAAACACTTTTCATGTATTTGCATTTGCACACAGCTGATGGATCAGATCCATGACCAGATATGAACGAGGGTTTTACCCCTAAAGAAACCATATTAAAACAACAACCAAAAAAATCATTCCTTTTCCATTTTCACTCATTTTTGAAAAAGCTCCAGGGAGCCACTAGGGGAGTGCTAAAGAGCCGCATGTGGCTCTGGAGCCGCCGGTTGCCAACCCCTGCACTAGACATTTCTACAGATATTTTGCCTCAGAAAACCATTAACCGGAAGTTACAAACCCTACATCGGGGCTTTTCCGGCCGTTGTAAAAAAAAGGTCTATTCCATGGATCGATAATAAAAACTGTTATATATCTTTTTTTTTATATTTAGATTTTATTATTATATTTATTATATTTAGATTTTATTATTATATTTTATTGCTGCTATAGACTGTGTAGTCCTCTTCAAGTACGTGACAAGGGCGGCGCTAGGACCCGGGGCCGACGGGAGGGCGTAGTCTCGCGCCGGTAGAAGAGGAAGCTCGCGCCTGCTCTGTGCACCGCGCGCACATCCCCGCGAGCTCCTGACAACATAGCGGCAGCAGCACGAGCGATGCGAGCACCGAGCAGGAGGCAGTGAGGAGACCACAGCCAACCCCGACACACAAACCGGAGAAAAACAGCCCCACACGCGGACACCCCTACTGCCCCCGCTTCTGCCCCTTCTGCCCCGCGCGCGTGAAGCTGAGCCCGGCTGCCTCCTCTTCTCCACTCGCCCCGGACGCCACACGCAGCCATGTCCGTGCTCGCCCTCCAGGAGTACGAGTTCGAGAGGCAGTTCAACGAGGACGAGGCGATCCGATGGATGCAGGAGAACTGGTGAGCCACACGCCGACGCCGTCAACCCCCGAACCCCCCCGGTAGAAACGCGCGAACACGGGCTGGAAACAGGGAGCGTGTGCGGTGCCTTGGCGCGCACATGTAGCAGCAGCCATCGGGATTAGATCTATCCCATTATATCATCCTCCGTGCGGCATCATCGCTAAATGTCTTCCGCTGACACACAAATGAACAAATTGCGTAGGCCCGTTTTAGCCCTGTGACTGTCTGTGTGATGTTAAACCTACAATGGCCTTCTACAGACTACGACTAAACATGATCATATGATGCTTGTCCTTGATTTTTTTCTTCTTCTTCATAGGCCCATCCGATTCATCTGAGACAACTTTGCTGTCGTAAACTGACGGTCACTAGTAGTTAAGTAGAAAAACCAAACACTAGTATCACATTCCATAGTGCTGAATCATGTTTAGGATCGCCTGACTTCACCTGCTCCTTCTAATGAGATGGATGTAAGTGGAAATTATTAGTTGGAATTTATTCCAACAAAATCTTACTGAAAAATTACAGATCGACCGGGATTTTCCATGGCTGATATACCGATTGTTTGGGATCCAGAGCAAGCAAAGGCAGATTAGGAAGATATAAAGGGATAATTTGGAGATCGTAAACTGTTGGTCACCAGTAGTTAATGCACCTGCCTCTAAGAAAAAAACAAACGCTAGGACCAGGACCACTGACCAGGATTTTTCATAACCAATACTAGGTGTGTGCAAAAATATTGAAATATTGATATATCGCATCATTTAATGTGATGATACAGTATCGATTTTGTGGGCTACTGTACTGATATATCACCAAGAGTATTTTTCTTTACCAAATAATTTAGTTATGGTGTTAGTTTTGGTGCTTGTTTAGAGAAAGGAAACTCATTTACGCTGACACATTTGACATTTTTACTGTTTTGATGATTAAAATGGATGCGTTTCATATGTGTTTAACAAAGGTTTTGAGTATTACAGTCTTGATTTAGCCAGTATTTTTTTACTGAACCGTATCGAATCGATTTGAAATATATCGTATCGAAGTGAAAGTGTACTGTATTGAGATGTGTATCATAGCTTGGCCCATGTATCATATCGGCACCTTCTTAATGATACCCAGCCCTAGCCGAAATGTTGTTTTAAATCCAGAGCAACCAGCAGCCAATAAGTTTTAGGACGATATATAGGGATAATTTGAGGATCGTAAACTATTTGTCACCTGTAGTTAACGCTCCGGCCTCTAAGAAAAAAACAAACACTAGTATTACATTCCGTAGTGCTGAATTTTGTTTAGGAAAGCCTCACTTCACCTGCGCCTTCTAATGAAATGGATGTGAGACGCATCCGTGGAAAATAATTATTTAGAATTAATTAGAAAATTAATTCCAAGAAAATCTTTTTTTTTTTAAAAAAATTACAGATTGACCAGGATTTTTCATGGCCAATATTAGGGGTGTGCAAAAGTATTGAAAATCAATATATCACATCATTTAATATGTATATGTATATTATTTTGTTATGGTGCTACAGTTTTGTCGTGTTTTGTTTACAGCGACGCAGTTGACATTTTATACTGTTTTGATGATTAAAATAGGTGCGTTTCATATGTGTTTAAAAAGATTTTGAGTATCACAGCCTTGATTTAGCCAGTTTTTTTTTTTTTTTTATTGAACCGTATCGAATCGATTTGAAATATATTGATTTGAAAGTGCATGTATCGAGATATGTATTGTATCGTGGCCCATGTATCGAGGTATGTATTGCATTTGCAACTTCTTAATGATACCCAGCCCTAGCCGAAATACAAATTGTTTGGAGTCCAGAGCAACCAACGGCCGATAAATTCTATTATATTTTTAGGCCGATATATAGGGGTGTGCAAAAATTTTGTGGGCTGCTGTATCGATATATCGCCAAGCGTATTTTTTGTATTTTACTAAATGATTTTGTTACAGCGCTACAGTTTTGTTGCTTGTTTAGAGGAAGGAAACTCATTTATGCGACACATTTGACATTTTCACAATTTTGATGATTAAAATGGCCGTGTGTTTCATATTAAATTTTGCCTAAAAATTGGTTAACAAAGACTGAGTATCACATGATGATTTAGCCATGATTTTTTATTGAACTGTTCGAATCGATTTGAAATATATCGAATTGAAAGCTCACTGTATCGAGATATGTATCGTATCGTGGCCTATGTATTGAGGTATATATCGTATCTGCAACTTCTTAATGATACCCAGACCTACCGATATATAGGGATAATTTGGGGATCGTAAACTTTTGGTCACCAGTAGTTCATGCCCCGGCCTCTAAGAAAAACCGAACACTTGTATTACATTCCATAGTGTTGAATTTTGGTTAGAATAGCCTGACTTCACCTTCTACTTCTAATGAGACTGGAGTCGCCAACATGGATGTGAGACATATCCGTGGAAATAATTAGTTGGAATTAAATAGAAAATTAATTCCAACAAAATCTTAATGAAAAATTACAGCTCGACTGGGATGTTCCATTGCTGATATACCGATCATTTGGAATCCAAAGCAACCAACGGGCATTAAATTCTGTTGATATTTTTAGGCCGATATATAGGGACAATTTGGATATTTTTCCTCAAAGTCTGTAATTTAATTTTGCCAAAAATTCACCACAGCCCGTTTTTATGGATAGCTTATTCTTTAGATCAAAACAATATATTAACTTGGAGATGTAAAACCGCCAATGCCCTGATATATTGGTCTATTTCTATTAATAATATCCTGGAACTCCTTTAGCTGCTTCGATATATCACAGCTCGGTCTTACTGCTGCCAGTTGTAGACCAAATCGAGCTGCTAGTTCTAAGCATTTTTCTATTTGAGCACAAAATGAAGAATCAGTTCTTAATGGATGTGCTGTATTGTGAACACACCCTTTAGACCTTTTGAGAGCCGTTTCCCCAAAGAGAGTGAACTTTTTGGACTGAAATAGGTCTATACAGGAGGCCATGGAGGAGATTAGTTTTCATTTAGGCATTCTGATTTACATTATTGTTTAGCGCTCTGTTGTGGACTAGGCTTTTCCGTAAGAAGATGGCTGTGATGTACTTCGTGGTTAGTCCTGGTTTACGTATAAAGTCCAGGTTTATAGGTTTGCTGGTTTAGTCAAACTTGGTTGAGGTTTGAAAAGTTGTGATTGGATTATTACTGACTGAAGAGTACAAATAGACCCATATATCATTTGTCTCTCGTATTCAGTTTGTAGTCAAATAAAGTCGTGAATAGGGGTGTGCAAAAATATTGAAATGTCGATATATCGTGAGTACAGTATTGTTATCACGGGGGTATTTTTTGGTGTATTTTACTTAAATATTTTGTTACAGCGCTACAGTTTTGTTGCTTGTTCAGAGGAATGAAACTCATTTATTTGACACATTTGACATTTTCATTAATTTTGATGATTAAATTGGCTGTTTTTCATGTTAACTTTGCACAAGAAGTGGTTTAACGAAGACTTTTAGCATCACAGCCTTCATTTTTTATTGCACTGTATTGAATCGATTTGAAATATATATCGTATTGAATCTGAAAGTGCACTGTATCGTGGTATGTATCGTATCAGCAACTTCTTAAGGATACCCAGCTCTAGTCGTGGATGAGTTCGTACTAAATTCAGGTAATTTGGGGAAAAAAAAGACCAAAATCAAGCTTACATCTCAGCGTAGGTCATTTTCCACCGCCTATTCCTGGATCACCAAGAAAAAAACGCAGATTGGTCAAAGGTTGATCTCTTCTATATTGACCTAACGTGGCCTAATCTCACCTGTTATACGTTTAGAAAGGCTTTACCTTGATCAAACCAGACTGGCATTATAATCTAAATATAGACAGAGCATTCATTGATCAGAGTCACTGGCAGCCAATGCACTGACATGTAATCTCAGTCCATAAATAGTACCGCTGTGTATTTAGTTAAATGGGTTACACTCGCACCTGACCTGAAGTGTTTAGCAAAGGCAGGGTTCCTCAGGGCGTAAGTGGTCAAGATGAGCCTGGTGAGCGTTCTGTGTTGCCGGTGTGGGGAGCCAAGCGTGCCTCGGCAAACGCTGTGTGTTCGAATGTAGGTCAGAGGCAGCAGCAGCAGCATCCTTTCGTATGTTCTGAAGGTCACTGTGATGCAGGTCTCTGCCACGCTGGACACTAATTCTTATCATGTGGTTCAAATCAACATTTACTGATCTAAAGTCCGTCTCTCAAATTTGCAAGTTTTTTTTTTTTTTTTTTGTGCTGGATGATATGATAAAAACTTAAATTGTGATCTGATTTCTTTGACGATATGCCCTCTTGGGGAAATTGTGGTATTGTGTTTCGGTGCTTTTTAATGCAGTTTTATGCTCTAACATGCTGGCACAGTGGCCTGCCTAGTGCTCTGGCCTTACAGTGAAAATGTTGCCAGTTCAGTTCCTTATGAGGAGCTCAGCATTCGGACATGGGTCACTGCTCCGGTATTGAAGGATGGGTCAAATATCCCTATTTTTTAATTGTCAAAACACAAAGTCAGTGAACATATTTTAGATAGGAGCTTAGAGGTGCATTTTCGTTTTGATTTGAATAGGTTTTGCTATCCAAATGAGCCAGAGCAGTTTATTTTCATAGGGACTTGTAAGTGCTTATGAATGCTGAAAGGGGGAACACATCGTGTGTAGGAGCTGTCCAGTCCGTAGTACTGACAAACAGCCAATCATATTCATGTTCTGATGTCTGCTGACAGAGCACTGACCAATCAGAGGCCGGGTGATCTGTGCCGACTCCCTGTGTTAGCAGTGGACCACAGCGCATGGGAGACAGGGCTCGAAGTAGAGAGGGCGGCCAACAGCCGAGCAACTTGAATAAATAGATGAGCCTGAATTATTTATATTAAGTAGAATGAAGGTAAAATGATTTCCGTTTTGATTTGCACACATCACTCACAAACAGACCACTACAGTGTTTGCAAAAAGGATTTTCTGCACTTTGACTGAACGTTCGACACATTCTTATGCGGTCGTCAAAGTCTGTGGCCATAACTGAACGTCGACATTATTACTTTGATTAGTATTGCCTTTTTCTTGTTGTTAATGGCAGACGGAGAAATTCTGTAGATTTCAAAAGGTTCCATGTAGGGCTCCACAAATATCAAATCGTAAAACTACAGTGGACACTCTATTACCTCCTTAAATGCAAACGATAAAATACCTTCTATTTTTTTTTTAAACTATGCTAATTTCAAACCATTTTGATACTAAGGAATAGACTCAATACTCAATGTCCATTTTGATACCACAGTGATAATTATTGTCTTTATTTTGACCATGTAATATGATTTTCAACATTAAATCATACTTTTAT